TGAACATTATAAATGTGTATGTGTATCTATATGTGTGTGTATATGTTTATATGTATGTATATGTGTATATATGTATTAAATAAGTGGTTCCTGATGTGGGCTCATTATGATATAATTTTGTGTATGTAGGTATATATCTGTGTGTGTATATTTATGTATATGTTGATGTATTTGTATATATAGATCTGTGTAAAAATTTCAGCATGTTCCATACTATTCTTTCATTTTCTATTTTTTCTGTAATATGTATTTTTTATATTTTCTTTATAAATTGTAATCTGATTATCCGATGATAAATAAAGCATTCATTCATTCAAACCATGATTACGATGTTGATTTTGATCAAAAACTCACGATTAAGTAATGATCAGTGAGCAGGTGCATTATCGTGATGGAAGAGTCATAAATTGTTGGATTTCATTAATGAATTTCATTAGTTTGGACTTCGAGGCTTGAACACACACCTTATTTTTTTAACAGACTTTGTATAGTGTATTTTATCAGTTCGGACTTCGATTGTCTAATTTGAAATCCATGAAAACAGACTTCGTATAGTTGAATTGATCAATCAATCTGCATCCCTTTCGTATCCACCACCTGTTTTGTGGGGGAAGGACTCCCTACTCGTGAAACCCTTTTTGAATCCAACACATCTCCTGAATACTTGTTTGCAGAGCAAAGCAAAGAACATGATATAAAATTGTTCACTTATTTGTAATCACTGTTTTTTTCAGCGTGTTCGCCTTTTTGGCACAGATCCTCTCAATTGCATCCATTTCCGTTGATTAAATATGCTTAGTAGCCTTCACTGTCAATGTATTTTCAAGACTAACATACAAAATTAATAAAATTAATTTAGAAAACTATAAAACAATAACGACAATATCATTGATGAGGATTTGATTCAAACAAAAGAGATAGTGGAGAGATGATATTATCAATGAATGATGATTTGTTGTTTCTGTTAGAAAATTTTTAACAGATTTTTACTTTCATATATATATTTTTTATAGCGTTTTTGTACTTTGGCAAGGAGTTTATAGTTTTTATGTCATGTGGCAAAATATTGTACAGTTTTGGTCCATAAAAAAATATATAACGTTGTGTGTGTGCTTTCTAAAAAATTGGTAATATTAAGGACTTATTTACAGCGAATCTAGTTTGCTTAGCTTTGGAAGTCGTATATTTTTGTTTATTAGCAATAATGTATTAGCAGTAATGTTTATTAGCAATAATGTCAAGTAGGTTACGTACAGCGCCATCTGCCCGCGAATAGATCAAGCAATAATGTCGATAATTCTGTCAAATGCAGATCCCGATATGAAATAAAAAAGAGAGTTACAAACAAGCATACATACATACATACAGGTAAAGCTAATACAAAGCATGTGCAAATATCACTAATCAAATGTACGTAGCACATGAAATTCATCATTCTTTTTGAACAGACCTTGTATACTACAATTTTATTTTCATGTATACAGGCGGGTAACGAAGTTCGTGAACAGCAACAAAGAGTCCTATCGTTACTGATTGTATCAGAAATGAAATTCATAAAAATTATTTTGGATCATTTGTGAATGAAAGGAACAATCTCACAGGAAATGACATCAATTCAAATATTTCACCAATATTTCAATTTCCAAATATTTCTAGAAGATTGACAATCTAATTCATGGCCACCCTGTATTTCATATAATGGTCTATACCCTTCGACAAACTTTTAAAATCCGTTAATTCCGGCAATAAGCCGCCAGCTCTCGAGTTCTGTAATTTTGATAATGACCTTGATAACGGCGAAATATTGCATTTTTACAAATCCTACCCTATTTATTTTTCTCTGGGGAATCCGGACGGATTAAAAACTGATGCAGTGGTTAGATAAAAAAGGGTTTGGTTTCAACCCGTAATTTCATTGCCCACCTGAAAAGCAATTGGAAAATACGAGTTTTTATATTTATCTGGTCATTGAAAAGCCTGAAGAGCGAATTCAGTTGAAAATGCTCTCATCGAAATTGGTTCTGTATGAATGGAGGGAATCGTGGATTTGATCCCCAGTTGCAACTTTTACATGATCATTTATATAATAATAATAATACTTCAATATTTATTCACTAGAACAAATACATATAATACATAATAATTTAAGCAGGTAAGTAAATGGTTTCGATGATATTTTTGTACATAATGCACATAGTATTATATCATGAAATGAAATATAAATGAATAAATATGAGTGATTATCCACAAAAACATATGTTTGTCTTGGAACAATGAAAAAAAAAAGATAGTAAATAATAAAGTATAAAGATGTATACGTGTTGACGAAAAATCATTTACCGTATACATATACCTACATACATACACATACACACATATACAGTGTCACACATGAAGTCCGCATCGAATGGGATTTCTTTTTGTTCATCTCTTCAAGCAACTTTTGATACCTCCATTAGGTTGTGCTTCAAAAATTATGCCAAATGACATGCATATGACCGATCAAGTAATTTTTCTTCCCTGTCCAATTCGACATTTTTTCCAAAAAATGTTCAGAAAAGCAGTTATTGCTCGAAATTCCGAAAATCGGTAGAGAGAAAAGATGATTGTTTTTTCATTTTTCACCCATATACCAATTTTTAGCTCTCTAGTACAAATTTAGTTTTTTTACAGTTTTTCGAAAACTTGACATTTGCCGATTTCTCAAATTTAGCCAAACCTCAACAAAGTTAGTGCTTTATGCCTTACTTATCTTTCCAACGCATTTTTATCACCAACTGCAATTCTAAATACAACTTATTTCGCAAAAATTTAAAACAACAGAAAAAATTATGCCGAAAATGATGCAAAGTTGATACAGTTTTAAAAAACAGATAAATATTTCACTTTATTTCTACTTTTTGCGAAATAGCTTGATACATAATTAGTAAAGTAAAGTAAAGAATAAATTATTGACTTTCCATTGATATTGTTTTTTAATCATGCTTATGTATCAAGCTATTTCGCAAAAAGTAGAAATAAAGTGAAATATTTATCTGTTTTTGAAAACTGTATCAACTTTGCATCATTTTTGACATAATTTTTTTCTGGTGTTTTAAATTTTTGCGAAATACGTTGTATTTAGAATTGCAATTGGTAATAAAAATGCGTTGGAAAGATAAGTTAGGCATAAAGCACTAACTTTGTTGAGGTTTGGCTAAATTTGAGAAATCCGCAAATGTCAAATTTTCGAAAAACTGTAAAAAAACTAAATTTGTACTAGAGAGCTAAAAAGTGGTATATGGGTGGAAAATTAAAAAACAATCATCTTTTCTCTTTACAAAAAAAAATCCCATTTGATGCGGACTTTATGTGTGACACTGTATATAAATGAAGCAATTTGAGATTGATTTATTTATTTGTATTTATTTGTTTACAATGAAACCGAAGACCTCTGTAGAACAGTCTTTTGTTCCTATTGTGTATTATTTCAGAAATTATTCTTTATATCGATCAGTTGATGAGTGAATGATCTAGGAAGGTTTGAAATCCAATGTTTCAGTCTTTTCTTGAATTGGCTTAACGAGTTGATTATTTTCAATTCACTGGGAACTGCATTGTTCACTCTGGCTTTTTTCTACTTCACTATCAAGACGTTCAAAAATAATTGTTCAGTATCTACAACTTTTGCTAGTTGATAAATTCCCTGGAATCTGTCTGTCTGTTCAAAATCTGTTTTCCGCTAATCAGCTGTCGCCCCCATACGAACGACAACTCTCATATGTTGAGAAACTTGTGCAAGCTAAGGACTAACGAGGTCTTACCTTTGAACGTGTGATTCCTAACACGGTAACACGGTAACTGGAATATAATCGACCTTTCGATTCAGCTATATGTTTAATAAAATGTGGCCCAGTACTGTACCTTGTGGGACTCCAAATTCCACAGTTGCTGTTACATCATTCAAAGTGTTTTCGAATCAGTCGAGTTAATGATGTGGTTCCAGAATCATTTTTTTTGACACGCTTTATATTAGTTTCCCCTGTATGTATGTATGTTTGTTTGTAACTCTCCTTTTCATTTCATATCGGGATCTGTATTTGAGAGAATCATCGACATTATTGCTTGATCTATTCGCGGGCAGATGTCGCTGTATGTAACCTCCTTGATGAAATTCCAACTAACTTTACATATATTTCTTCATTAAAAAAAAAAAGATTTTTTTCATCAACTCCCGCGCCTGCTACCTTATTTGTAACCTTTTGGCTCCCTCTCCTGAATCGGAAAATATCAATGATCATTTTTCTAAACAATATACGGCTGATTGATCCCAAAGTTTAAATTAAATAAATATAGTGTGTCAAGAATAAAAAACACGCTTTTATAGCATACGATACTAAAAAATTAAAAACAAATATAGTTTAAAAAACTAAAAAACACGTTTTTAAAAAACATCGAACTAAAAAGTTGATTTTTTTTTCAATAGGCTCAAAACAATAAAGAATAGAAAATACTAGTGCTATTGTGGAAAAAACTGATTACTCTGTGCCATATTTTTTGTATATCAAGCGCCCATCGTTTTTCATGTTTTTCACAATAACAGTAGTATTTTCCGTTCGTTATCTTAAGCTTATTTAAAAAAACATTATTTTCAACTTTTTAGTTCGACGTTTTTTGAAAGCGTGTTTTTCAGTTTTTTGAAGTATATTTATTCATCTAATATTAAAATTTCGGGAATAAGATCGGTGGCTTGGGATCTGTAAAGTCCAGAATTTCAATTCCGATGGGATATCCGTGAATCAATTTTCTTCTGTCAAATTCTCATAGGTTTCTACACTATTTAGTGTGAATTAACTTGTATAGAAAATATCATCATCATTATCTGTGTGATTCATCAGACTACTTTCCGACATCAAAGAATATCCTGTCTTTATCCCAGACATGCGGTATGTTTAGCAGATAAGACCACCGCATAAAACATACGTTTCTCACTGAAACTGTCAACTCGAAATCAAGAATTACGTACAGTTCATCGAGTCCACAGTACTGGATTTTTTCGATTCCCAGAAACTTGTATCTGTTATCAAACCGCAGTTCAAAGATCATTGAATACTTAGTAACCAATCTATTCGTATTTGTTGCAGTATGAGGTTCCTGAAGTGGTGTATGTTTTGGATAGTTCTGAACTATTTCCAGATTCCGACTAGTTCTGATTTTACTACACCAGGTCTGGGGGAAAAGTTTGAGGACTATGGAATCACGGAAGACTCTGAAATCACGGAGGATTTCACCAACACGGAGGCTAGTTTCTTGTCTGAAGAAACTACGAAGTATCCAGCGAATTTATCTCTTACTTTGAGTGAGTACTTTCTAGAACAAATATTATGAAACCAGAAACTTTGTTCATTTGTCTTTACAAATACTCTGCCCGATATTGTTATTACAAATATTATTTATTCGTAGATAAGTAGTATGTTGAAATGACGAAATGGTCCTTCAAAGTTTTTTATTGCATTTTTGGTCGATGATTCTCGAGAAAATTTTATATTCGAGATCATGGTTATTATTTTCACTCTTTTCACGTAGTATTTGGAACCAGCAGTGTTCTAATTTTCATATGCTATTCTATTATTTCGATCAAATGTTACTTTTTGGGGATATAGGTACCAACATATTTATAAATTGCTCCATATTCCTTTGAATATTTTGTTTTCCAGTACTCGTATATTGAAGAAATGTTTTTCAGATAAGGCGATAAACTGAGGTACGCTGCACAAACATGTTTTCAAAATGAATTACATTGACAATTTTTAGGGAAGTGATGCAACAACAATTCACTCAAAATTCCAACCAACGTTGTTGGTTTTTACCTGAGTTTTCCTTCTTCTTGATTAACCTCTTCTTCCCGTAAAGGTTTGAAATGTTAAATCTAAAGTTCTGGTTTTTTCAACCAGACATCACCAGAAGATGGCAAATGAGACTTTGCCGAAACGTTGTGAAAATAATCCTTATGGGACGTATAAAGAGGCAGACGACAGGATGACAAGTTCAGTTTGATGAGTGCCTAGAAAATGACAGTGCGACCAGCTGTCGAAAGCGCTCGCAGATAATTAATACAAGATATAAAGCTTCAAATCCTTTTTGTGAAATTTAATATTGAAATACTGAAAATAAAGGAAAATTAGTTGCATAATTCAAAATATATCGATATTGAACGAGATGTACTCTTTCCAGAGATGGCTACTGAATGTGAAACACCAAACCATGATGTTGGATATTGCGTTGGCATAAAACAGTGCACCAAACTCTACAAACAACTGAACAATCCGGATGCGAAGGCATTTTTGAGGGAATCGATGTGTGGTCCAGCTAATGAGGATAAGAAGAATCCTAAAGTTTGCTGTGGGAAATATGATAATTCCAAATCGTCTCGTAGAAATGTCGGTGAGAATTTTTTCCGTTATTTAATTTCAAGTGTTTTAATTTGGGCTGAACATTAATCCTTCATCAGTAATACGAAACATCTGAACTAAAATTTAGTTTTTTTTGTCCAACGAAGTATGATATTAGGATATTATCAAATTAATTGATCAAAATTTGAAGTTTTCAGAAGTGTGATACTGGCTTACTAATGAAACATACAGGGTCTTCCACGACAAGCCTTCGTTAGGAATATATGGAGAACGATTCGAAATAAAAATTTGAAATTTTGTGATATTAGGTTATACAAAATGGCCTTCTCAACTAAAATATTCTCAACTTCCGGTCTCTTTCCGTTATACCGGAGGTTGTGGGCAACTTCCTTATTTCAAACAGAACACCCTATATTTTATTACATTTTTAATTTCTCAGCATATTTTAGGCCCACTTTGTATAACAATGCCTATACCCAAACTTGTTAGTTTTCAAGATAATGATTTTTTTCTGAAAAATTATACAGTTACAGCACCACTCCGAAAAAATTATAACTCATAGACAGTAACAGTTGAAAATGTGAAATTTCACAGAATCCCACTTTAAGTATAGAGTCATGAACAGGTCCAGCGAATTTTTGAAAATAATTTACAGGGGGGTCGAAATTTCCACCTACATACTATGAGAAAAAAAAATCAAATTCTTGAAGAATGTCCTATAGCTGAAATACACCCCTGGCAAGATATATCCGATTTTGTGAAATATTTGAAATGTTAATTATTCGAAGCGATACCACACCAAGAAAGCTTTGTAAACAAATGAACTGATATTAACTCAACCCTTGGTAAAAGGTAACTCAACATGAAAATTGACAGATTGAAATAGTTCTTAGCTCGCACATGTTTCTCATCTTCTGAGAGTTGTCCTTCGTATGGGGGCGACAGCTGATTAACGGGAAAACAGATATTACACACAAATAGAAAACTTCGAAATACACGTCAATTATATCGCATCAAATTTTGACATATCTGTTGTAACTTCATTTATTTTCAAAGCTTTCTTGAAGAACGATTCAAAATAAAAATATTTTGAATCGCTCTCCATATATTCCTAATGAACGCTCGTCGTGAAAGACCCTATATATCTCTTATTTTTTTTCAACTAGAGTATCCGACATAATATCTCGTTTTAGTAGGCAGCTGTAGGGATTATCAGTTGTTTCAGGAGTTTTGTTCGTCTTACTGTAATGTGCTCTTGTAACTCAATATCTTAATAAATATGCATTCTAATAAAATACTCTATAGCTTGATGCTGTTCATATTTTTTCAAAATTTGACTTTTGTCTCTTTTCAGCTGATTGCTATATATTACTCTACAAATTCAAATTGAACCAAAGCGCTGCCAAAACAGCTCGAACAATTAACCGAGCATTTGTAGATAATAGTGTTAATGGTCGCACTGTTCGACGTTGGTTTGCGAAACTTCGTTCCAAAGATTTTAGCCTCGAAGATGAGCCACAAAGTAGTTGACCTACTGTAATTCAGTAGAAGGATTTGGTGGAGACTGACCCATCAAAGATGGTGCATGAGATGGCGGATGAACCGGGCATCACCTCCCATTCGATTTTTGATGGTTTCAAACGTATTGGATAGGTCAAAGAGCACAAAAAGTTGATACCCCACGAATTGACACGTTTTGAGGTCTGTACTCCTTTGCTTTTACGCAACCAAAATGATACTTTTTTGGATCGGACCATCGTGTGTGATGAAAAGTTGATTCTCTGCAACAACAAGAGGCGTTCTGGACAGTGGTTGGACACTGTTGAGCCACCCAGACATTTCCCAAAGGCGAAAACCCACCAAAAAAAAAGAACTTGAGTACTGGGTCAAGCTATCACAGCAGATTAGAAAGATAGATTGAATGTACCAAAAATTTCATCAACACTAGTCAACAGAAGGGGTCCTATCCTATTCCACCACAACTCCCGTCCACACGTTTGACAAATCACCGTCCGAAAATTAAATGAATTGGACGTCTGAGTTCTGCCTTACCCTCCATACTCCCCAGACCTCTTGCCAGTTGACTACCATCTTTTCGAGCACTTTTATAACTTTCTCACCGGTAGAACTTTCGACAATCAGGCCAAGACAAAAACAGACAAAAACAGCCTTCGTCGACTTCATCGAATCCCAAGCACATATTTTTCTGCTAGTGGAATCATTCGATTTGTGTTACGTTGGCAAAAAGTGCAGTTATTCAAAGGGCGCTTGTTTAGATTGAATTGAATAAGTATTCACCGAGATATTACGGACAAAACTTTTGAAACAACCTTATACTTTCTTTGCAATTGTAATGTATGATGACATATTTTGGTGATATTGTACGTTAGCTATTTCCTCACAAGACTATATTTAGTTCCAGTTGAAGATAACAAAATATTTCCTAAAGAGTGCGGCCGTCAGAAAATGGTCATTAGAGGTCGTATCTTCGGTGGAACGCAGGCAAGCCTAGGAGAATTTCCTTGGATGGCTAGACTGTTGCACAAAAACAAGTATGGATACAAATCCTACGGATGTTCTGGATTCCTGATCCACTCGAAATATGTATTGACGGCTGCTCACTGCATTCACAGTAATTTCACAAAAATCAGAGGACCTGTGTGAGTTTATGATTCTTTGCCGATTTAGGCTGCATCCAGTACCATTATGTCTGTGGACATGTCTGTGTTATTTTTATCATTCACAAGGAGTTGTCCTCACTGGTATTTGCTTACAGCACAGTGTTAATCCAAGCGGAAAAAAGGATTATTGTTTTCTATGTTAGAAGTTCTAAAAATGTACGGACCATGTTACAGGTTTTGATTATTATTCCTTTTTGTATGTGTCTATGTATGGATGGATGTTCATTTTGTGTAGGTTCATAGATTGTGAATGATTACAGTGTTTTTCCTATGGGTGACATGGTTGGTATAACGAGGGTGATCTGGATTTTTGCAATGGTAACCACTGAGGTGTGGCCGTTTTCTCTCAAGTTGTTCCTTCAGCTTGTGATGTAATGATTTATCCTTCTTAAAGGTGATCGATTAAAATACATGACTATTCCAAAAAACAGTCGTCATCACTTTCTCAGCCAAAAAAACAGTTTTTCCTTTTTTTGGAGCCAATTCCCTATCTGCATTTTAGTTTTGGACGTATAATGTTGTTTCCAAATTTCATCTTCATTGATAATCGGTGACAAAACTCAGATTTATTGCGCCAAAGTTACGCCAACGAAGCGATGGAAATCTTCATTCGAACACGTTTTTAGTCTAACGTGAGCAAACGCGGCACCCAACGCGCGCACAGCACTCTGATGCCTAAATGTTGTTTGATGGGTGACAAACACATTCTTTTGACATGTTCGTAACTTCTGATATATCTCTCAACTGCGGAAACTTTAAAGTCCACTCTCGTAGTATTGCTACTCGCTCCTGTCTCCATATTTTGAAACAAATAGCTTGCTAAAAAAATTCCAACACGGTTATAGGTCAAACAGATCGACAATTACTGCTTTGTGCGAAGCCTATGAAAAAATATTAGACTCACTCGAGAATCAACAATGTGGTATGGCAAATCTCTATGACCTTTCCCGCGCATTTGATACTGTAAATCATAAAATTTTGATAAATAAAATGGAGTACTATGGAGTGCGGGGAAACGAACTGGAATTATTCAAATCCTATCTTATGGATAGGAAATCAGGAGTCAAGTGGCAAGACAATATCTCGGATTTTGTTGTAATGAAACATGGAGTTCCGCAGGGCTCTGTTTTAGGTCCTCTACTTTTTATAATCTATGTTTATGATATGATGTTCAATTTGTCCAAACCAACTAATATACATGTAACTAGTTATGCTGACGATGTCTCCATCATACATTGTAACAGCGACAAATGTATTGTCGAACAAAATATAATGGAATCTGAAGAATTACAAAAGCAACTATCTGACATTAAATCTGGACAAAACACAAAGAATCTCTTTCACACTGAACAATACGATAGCTAATAATGATATTAAGTTATTAGGAGTGCATCTAGACGTCAGTTTAAATTTTTTGTCACACATTAGCCATTTATCCAAACGGTTATCGACGCAACTTTTATTATTAGACAATTGAAGGGCAAGCTAACTGAAGAATTCATCAGGGTATCTTACTTTTCAATATTTCACGCAGCAATGACGTATGCTATAGTTGTTTGGGGTGCATCAAGTCATACAGCCAAAATTTTTGTCTTGCAGAAAAGAGTTCTAAGAATTATGGCAGGGGTTGGTTATAATGATCATTGCAAACCACTATTTAAAAAATTTAAGATACTTACACTTCCCTCTTGTTTCTTATATAAATGTTTGATTTATATAAAAAATAAAAATATTCGTGGTGATACCGTCAAATATGAGCAGGTACATGAATATTTCACAAGAGGAAAAAGTGATATAAGACTGCCAAAGCCTAGAACAACTAAGATCAAACAATCATCTCTGTATCTATCGATAAATTTTTTTAACGCTCTTCCTAAGAATCTGAAAAACGAAACGTTAAGTTTGAGCAACTTCAAAGAAAAAGTAAAGAGTATTCTGATCGAGGAATGTTTCTACTCCTTTGAAGAGTATTTCAATTACTTTTCATATCCGATACCCTATTTGTAATCAAGTAACTGAATTTATGTATTTATGAAGTATACAAAGCTATACATATTTGTGTTTGAATATGTTTTTATTGTCTGACAAATGGTGTTGATTGTAATGGATTTTAAATAACCTAATTGTTCGCTGTAATTTTCACATTTTTACTTTCTGTTGTAACTGTTTTATGTGACGTATGTATAACACTTTTGTATAACAACATGAATAAAGTATCTATCTATCTATCTATCATATTTATCATATCTCTTCAATGATAATAATAATAATGATGATAATAACTTCATTCATTCATTTGAAAGGTTTCACACAATATAATAATAATAATAATAGAATAAATAAAAATGGAGTGCAAAAGCAGTGCAAAAGCAGTTGCTTCGCATAACAGGAACAACACAACTTAGTAAAACACAGATATGTATAATACTCAGATATAAAGTGAAACCTATACTGGTAGTAAAACTATCTGTTAGTGTAACTATCGTTAGTGGCAATTTTGGGTTACACAACGTAAATTAAAATGTTAGTGAAAGTAAAATTTTTGAATAAATGGAAAGATTAGTATATACGTATGTACTAGTGAAAGAAAATGGCACAATAATTGAAACACAATAAAATATATGATATGAATAAAACCTCATACACAAGTCATACTTAACAGCTTGTCTCTGGCCTAAATTCCTGGCCATACTGGCCTGGAAGACAATGAGGCTGCTGACTCCCTTGCAAAGGAGGGTCCTGCAAGTAGCTTCATCGGACCAGAACCTGTCATTGGCATCGCTTTAGGCTTTGCCAAACAAAGATTGAACAGCTGGATGACAAGAAGTTTTATGGACTTCTGGCAGAATTTTCCAGGATTGGCTCACCCTTCGAACCTTGATACCAAACAGTTTATAGACTGAAGTAGAGATGAACTATGATGTCTAAACAGGCCTTCTTAAAGGTCACTGTCATTTGAATTATAAAATGCAGAGGCTCGAACTGTCGGAAGATAGTGTGTGTCGCCTCTGTTTGGAGAAAGATAAAACAGCAGAGCACATACTTTGTGCCTGCCCCGCTGGAAACCAAATCAGGTTCCCAAGTTCGGCAGAGCCGTACTCTTATCACCTGAACTGAAAGAAAACTCATCATACACACTAATCGGCTTCGTTAAGAAGCTGGATTCATTTGGTCGAGTGTGAATAGGTGTGAGCCACAATAAACCCTTGCGGGTTGCGGTGGAGGGTCGAATAGACCCACTCACTTTGGACCTAACCTAACATAATTATGTACATTATATTTAAGTATTTTTTTCTTTCAACAAAATTGAAAACATGTTAATTATTCAGAAAGTACAAATCTCCCCAAGAATATTATTATACAGTTTTGGAGCCAGGTAAGTATATGAGTGTTGGTAAATTGATTTTTGTGTCTGCGAAATAACGTGATAATTTTTTTCTGCGGGTGTTGTATAAGTGAGTTGGCAGAGCGAAATTTCTGTTCTTATGATAATGGATGACAATATTATAATGAAAGACCTGACTAATATCAAAAACTTGTGCTTCATTGAACAGAGTTCCTGGTTGGGGGTAGGTATGTATTTTTCAAGTTTTCCTTGTCTTTTTATTCAATGTTTGCGTCTACTGGAATAGCTAGGTCTATGAAGTAGCTGATATTATACTTGTGATGCACTGTTTGGAACCTCTGGTGTAGTAATGAGTATTACTTGATTCTTTTCTACATCAAACCGTTATTTTAACACCTCGACACGTGTTTCGATCACCAAGTGATCAGCTTCAAAGAAAAGATCAAACTAATCATACTTACAAAGCTACCATCATTTATACGTTAGACACCTGTTCTTGGTATCTGTGTCTTGAGTTTCTTGAATCAATTTCACAATTTGCCCTATCTGCTGGTCTTAAATTAATTTTACAATATGTCCTTATATAGTAGTCAGGTGAATCTAATAATTGAAATATTATTAGATATATAAAATAAGTTTCACAAATTGCCTTATCTACTAGTCTCAAATTAATTTTACAGTGTGTCCTTATGCAACAGTTAGGCAAATCTAATAACTAAATATTATAAGCTACTTCTATAAAACACATTTCATAATACTGCCCTATCTACTTGTCTCAAATTCATTTTTACAATGTGTCCTTATGTAATAGTCGTTTGGTGTTGGAAAAAACTACAGTAATATTCAGGTGATTACATGTTGTTTGAGTATACAGGGTGTCCCGGTTCTTGACGATAAACCTTGAGATGGTAATAGCTGAGGTCATGACTAGCTCATAACGGGAAAAAAGTTTACGTAAAAGTGTTTTCGTTTTCGAGATATCGGAAATTTTCTTTATTTCGAAAATCGGTGACTCGGTATAGTATTTTCAATGTTACGTCATGAAAACATGACTCATCCACAGCAAAAAAAACTATTTTGTATAGCTAAATAATATCCGCACACGACAGTAATACCAAAAGCTTGCGATCATTGGAAATAACTGAAAAAAAAAATCAAATAAATTTTGAAATGAAACAAATTTTTTGGTCAACTTTGACCTATCACAGTGAAAAAAAATGTACTGTGCTTGGCTGAAAAGTATTTCAGAAAGTTAGCGCATTTAATGAAGATTCCAAAATGGTGTAATAGTTAACTTTCTATCAGACCTCCAAGAAAATATTGAAGCTAGAAGAAAAAAGGTATTAAGAATCCAAGAATAAACGGCAATATCAATTATCACAAAACATTAGCACTGGGTGAAAAACATCCACAAAATAAAAAATGATTTCTCAAAAAATAACAAAAGAAACGAGTCCAAACAGGTTTCCTTCCAAGGTCCCCTCCCCTTCCCCGCCGCTATTGGATTTTGAAACTGTTTTGTGATTTGGATATTTTTCAAAATGTATTTTATTTTATTTTTTTTCCAGTTATTTCCAATGAGCGCAAGCTTTTGGTATTACTGTCGTGTGCGGATATTATTTAGCTATACAAAATAGTTTTTTTTTGCTGTGGATAAGTCATGTTTTTATGACGTAACATTGAAAATACTAAACCGAGTCGCCGATTTTCGAAAAAAAGAAAATTTCCGATATCTCGAAAACGAAAACCCTTTTACCTAAACTTTTTTCCTGTTATGAGCTAGTCATGACCTCAGTTATCACCACCTCCAGGTTTATCGTCAAGAACCGGGACAGCCTGTATATGTAATATCCTGTCTTTTGTGTGCCATTGTTATCTCTGTGTGGAGTGTTGCGTCCCTGTGCAGTTTCATTTCTTCGTTTTCTGGAAATTTCTGTGTGTGATACGTTTATTGAGGTTGTTTCTCTGTTAGTACGTTTGCTACGATGTTATGACTTCATGTGTAGTTTATTCCGGCTGAAAATTCACATCTGTTCGTTATATATTCTTTATTATATGTTACATTATAATTACTACACTACATTTCAATCATTATTATTCCTGATTGACTCGCTTGCAAAATGAAAAAATACAGCTACTAATCATTTTCCGTTCCAGGTTCTCTGTCGTGTTGGGCGACCACACTAGCAATACAAAAATAGATTGCAGCCCCAACGGAGTATATTGTGCGGATGCCCCTCAGATCAGCCGGGCTGCCAAAGTAATCGTACACCCCAAATACGATCCCCAATCGAATGCTCACTATAACGATATAGCTCTTGTTCATTTGAATAAGGGCGCTCGAATGACAGGTTGGTGGATATATTGTATTTCACGTAAAAAAGGCCTTTCGCGACTAATGAAATATTGAGATTCGCAAAGTAATCTTGATGATTGAAGCTGATTGGGATGTTGACTGTGTTCGTTTCGTTTTTATGTTGGTTCAATATTCGGTTAGGGGTATTCGGGGGGACCACGAAGAGAGGGAAATCTAGTTTCATACTTAGAGTGACAGAATTGAGAAAAACATCGATCATTGCCAAAAATAACCGTAGTCACGAACATTCAAGAACGCCGAAGACTGTAAACTTTCATGGCCATAGATAACTGTTTGAAAGCTATTTTCAGAAGATTTTTATGCCTGACGTTTGGTCTACTACTGCGGCAGTTTATATCTTTACTATTTCGACCCAAAACTCCAATTCACAATGTAAACAGATGTGGTGGTGATACATTGTACAGGAAACCAACACACACAGACAGATACCTGAACAAAAACTCTAACCACCAGTCACAACCAAAGAGAGGGGCTATTGAAACGTTGGTTGAGGGTGCATGAAGTATATGTGAACGTGAATGTTTTCCTGAGGAACTCAGTCACTCAAAGAATGCCTTCGCCTTCAGAAAAATTGGGAACAGCGAAGGAGAATTCGAGCTGGCCATAAGACACTGGAGAGTGTACGCCAAAGTAACTTCAGCTAAGCTGGTCAACGAAAAAGCTGTCCTACCCTAAGTTTAAAATGTTACAGATCAGATTGGAAAAATCTTAGAGAAACACGACGTGAAACCAAAGTTTAGGCTAACGAAAACTATCAAACAAAGTCAAAGGTCAGCTAAGCACCCCAAAGAACCTCAAGCATCAGCAAGGTTTACCAGGTTCCTTATAAATGCGGATCGGTTCAATTTGGAACCATGAAAAGAAGTATGAGTACTCGTCTCTCTGAACACAAGAGGAATTGTCAACTCGGACAAACTGACAAATCAGCTGTAGCCCAACATGCTTCCAATAAAGAAGGTTAGGTTACGTAAGGTCCAGTGGGTTGGTCTTTTAGGTCAGATGGTAAGGGTACGGCTCTGCTGTTTCATCATTTCCCAAACAGAGGCGACACACACTGTCTTCCAATAGTCCGAGTCTCTGCATATGATGATTCAAATGACAGTGACCTGTAAGAAGGCCTGCTATACATCGTAGTTCGTTCCTACTGTAGTTCAACAACTGTTTGCTTCGAATAAACGCCTGTGAGTAAACCAATTTCGAAAGATTCTGCCAGAAGTCCATGAATCTTTTTTCCATCCAGGTGTTCAATTTTTATTTGGCAAAGCCTAACGCGATGCCAATGACATGTTCTGCTCTGATGAAGTTGCTTGCAGCACCAAAAAGGCACTCACTTCATCTAATTGAAAGATACAGTAATACTCGATGGAACTCAAAATTACTATCCAAAAGTATACAGACATTCATAGAGTTGGCATACTTGTCCACACATTACATGAAGTTTTTTCGTTATACAAGGAATTGGGAAAATTTTGAATATGCGATCGGTTACCTTCTTCACGGGCAGATGGGGCGTTGACAGACATGTTGTTCGTTTCTGCCTAGTCCGAGGAATGTTACTCTGAAAGGAATTCGATTATCGATTATCGGAAATCATCGATTTCATGTTGATGATAGACACTACCTTGCACTGACGAGTGGCCGAACAACCCGAAACTGGTCTGGAAGTGCGTTCCAATAATTGAAAATATATTCCGGCAGTAGTATCGCAACAGTATATGCAGAAATAACTTCAGTGAAGAATCCCGCACTAACACCTGTCGGATATAATCCAACGCTCTCGGTGGTATTAGCCAGGAGTGTAGTTATTTCCTGATAAGTGTCAGTCCATTAACCTATAGTGTAGGTTATTTGAGACCGGCCTGAACGAATTGTTATTTTGAATAATTCGACTTACAACAAGTTTACATGTATGTCCATTCATTTTGTGAGACCAAGACGCGCCTTTTGACAATAATAATGAACCGAGTCAAATGATAGCATCGTAGATACTGCGTTTGGAATGGGAACAACAACTCGAGTATCAACTTGGGCACTACGATGTTACCACATCGCCTTTGACAATATCAACCGCTGAAGTAGAGGAAATGTCCGGCATAAATACCTACAGAACACGGCTAAAACCCCAGTAAAATAGCTTTCACACAGTTATCTGCGGCCGTGAAAGTTTACATTCTTTGATCAATCAAAAATCTTGTCTAATGGACCAGTTCATTCGATAAATAGTTTTTTTTTGTATTCATTTCGTAAAGTAAGATTTTCTGATAAAAACAAAATTACAAATAGAGAGGTGGAAATTAAAAAAAAAATAGTTTTATAAAAATTAATTATACCTTGAGTGGAAGGAAAATGACGAATTTAGATGAATAAAGAAATGTGAACTGGCATCAAAAAAAGAAGAATCACAAAAAGGGGATAACACAAGGGTTACTGGTATCAATTAAAAGAAAAAATGAATCATATAAAAAAATGAAAGTGAATCCACATGATGCGGAACTCAAAGATTTATATAATTATTACAAAAATAAATTAAGAACACTTATCTCAAAAGCAAAGCGAACTTACATCCAAAACGAGATCAATAAAAATAAAAATAAATCTAAAGGTCAATGGGACAATGTAAATGAAATTTGCAATAAATCGAAATCAAAAACAGTAATTAGTAAAATAAAAGTAGAAAATAAAACAATTTGCAACAAAAAAAATATAGCAAATGCAATGCAAATGCAATGAGTATTATAGTGAAGTTGGACAGAAATAGCAATTCACAAAACAATATAACATCTTATCAGATGACTAATATGGCTTCCGACAAGGAAGGTCGACAGAAGATGCAATATATAGACTTACTACTTCCATATATAAATCAATAGATATGTCGAAGCCATCACTGGGCATCTTCATCGACCTTTCTAATGCGTTTGATACCGTTTGCTACAAAAAACTCCTCGAAAAACTTGAGTCTATCGGTATGCGAGGTAAAGCATACGATTTAATGAAGTCCTACCTCACCAATCGCCAACAGTATGTGAGCATTGATGGTGTGGTAAGCAGTTCGAGAAGAATTATTTTTGGAGGCCCACAAGGCACTGTATTAGGCCCTGTGTTGTTTACCATATATATTAACATTCTACTCGAACAAACCAAATACCTACCTTTCACTTCCTATACTAACAGTTTACCGAATATGGGGCCTTTGATTGTGAATGCAGACACATACATTCTGGAAGCAACTTCGATTAAATATCTAGGTTTGATCATAGATCGGCATATGAGATGGGATTTTCGAATGTCATATCTAACTAGGAAGATACGTGGTCTTCTACCACGTTTTAAGATTTTGAAAGAAAATCTCGATATTTCCCTGAAAACACTTTATTATGGACTGATTCAGTCACAGTTATCATACGGAATCTTAGAATGGGGGGGAGTTAACGAGACAAATATGAATTGCCTAATTATTGTCCAAAAAAAAATCTGAAAATTATTCTAGGGAAGTCACGAAAATTTTCATCTGAAAAATTATATAAAGAAGCAGGAATTATGGATGTGAGACAAGTATATTGCTTGAAAATGTTACTGAATGTTGAGAAAAATGAAATAGAGAAAAAATCCATGAACCATCCTTATAATACCAGGAAAAAAAAAAGTAATTTTTTGATTCCAAAATGCATAAAATTGGTTGGAAAGAGGCATAGTAGCTTTTTATGTCCAAAGATCTGGAACTTAGTACCTGAAAACATAAAAAACGTTGTATATTTTATTACTTCCCAACAGAAACTAAAATAATGGATTGAAATGAATAGAAATGCATGTCATAACATAATGAATCAGTCTCAGTTATAGGAGATTCCATTTTTTTTAGCCAAATTTGTATATCTTCATTGCGGCGACGAAGTTTGGTAATCTATTTTGAAACGTGTCTGTATTATGATTATGATTATTATTATTATTATTATTATATTATCATATTATTATATTATCATCATTCCATCTTGGTATTTCTTCTATGAAATATTTGTACTTCATTATTATATATGTTCTCGTCAAATATTATTTGGTTAAATTATTCTGTATGTTGGCTATATCACATATAAGCAATATTTTTCTTCAGTGATGCCGTTGTTTATTCAACAACCACCAAATATGTTTATGTACTTCAATTGTGAAATATTTTTTGAATAAACATTATTATTATTATATTATCATATTAACAGTTATCATATTGATTTGATATTACTAAAATCGTTGGATGAATCAAAGTGTACTTCAGTATTTTCTTCCGAACTAATTGAGCTTTTTGTTCTTTTCGGTAATGGCTTTTTTGCAAGCTACCTGTAATCAAAAAGTTGTGGTTGTAGATTCCTGATGATATAAGATAACTGAACATTTTTTAACGTTTTTCAAAGATACACTATTTTAATTTCCAGAATATGTGAAACCCATTTGCCTTCTGAGTGATCCAAATGAAGTAGCAAGCAAATATTTTTTAAGTGGATGGGGAAAAACTGAAACTGGTAAGCTAATTTCAACATTTGATTTTTTAGACGTGTTTCACTGACACAGTAGCTTCGATAGAGGAAGCCACCGAGAAACCTCACCCTTCACCTCTCATGTGGACCTACAACTATGTAGGTACGTGTGGTTGATCTCCGATGTAAAACAACAACTAACCCAGCTCAAGCGAAATCATCAGGCACCTGTGCAACGTCCATTTGGTAGATTAGTCGGCGGGGGAGTAGTATACTCCGCGCTCTACGTGAATGGATGAGAGAGCAGTCTTTTTCCCCTTGAGCCTGCGAGTGACTCGCCAAAGCTCGTCACTACCAGGTTCAAAGGATTTTAAAAGCTATTCTCACCTTTCGTTTCGATGATCAATGATGGCCTGCTTGACTTGGTTGGCCATCCTATTTGCCGCAATTTTATCCCCTGGGAAAAGGGTTTGCTGATAGAGCCTTCTCAGGCGATTTCTCTCTCGTATCAAGGCTTTGATACGAGGGGGCATCTTTGGAAAAGATAAACAATTGGATACCACCAATAGAACGCTATATGCGGCAGTTCTTGATAAGTGCATGGAAATAAAAGATATATGTCTTTCCTTTTGACGATGATTTTTGAAAATCAGTCTCTCACTAATAATTGGAATATGGAATATTTGATAGTAATATCTTGATTATATCGAATTAATGAGAAATGATATTACAAATCAGTTTAGTCATATGCAGGAGCATATGAAAATTCGAATTCATCTTTCACACCTTCAGCTCTTCACTTTCATTCCATTCATTTGTATTTTTCCAAAAAGCTGAACCTTTTCAACAATAAAATTACATTTTGATTCCAGAGCAAGTGAGCAGAACTAAAATGAAAGTCGACATTCCCCCATACGACAAACAGAATTGTCAGGAAAAATACTCCCTTTGGGGTATCAGAATCGCGGATACCCAGCTCTGCGCAGGAGCTGAAGGAGGCAAAGACAGCTGCACTGGTGACTCTGGAGGTCCCCTGATGATGACGCCCAACGGAACCGTGTGGTTCGCTGCTGGAATTGTCAGCTACGGAATCGGTTGTGGTCTAGAGGGATGGCCAGGAATCTACACCAACATCCCCAGCTTCATCCCGTGGATCAAAGAACAGATATTGAAAAATAGTTTGCTCAGGACCAAAAGTTCGGCGGTGAAGAAGCATCGAAAAAAGAAGAAGAAGATTGTATCGAGAGTATTGTAGCTTCAAATAAATTCATTCTATTTCTTACTAGTTTTTTGGCTTAATTATTTGTCACACTTTCTATGGAAGTGGTGCTTGGTACAAGGTGGTGATCTACGTTGAATCCGTACGGCTGTAGATCGGATTCTTTCGGAAAAGTCATCAGAGACAGTTTATTTCACAAGAAATCTGATCTTTATAGGGATCAGTTGACGAAAAGTGTTATTCCAGGTGGACTGAGTTTCAATTTGAAATTGAGTCTTAGTGTAGTCTGCCAGATAGTCCTGATCTGAATGGTTCTCTGTAGAATCAGATGGCAAAGTGGGACACTTTGTGGAACATAAAAAGTTTCTGAGATATGTTCAACTTTCTTTTTCTGAGTGGTGTTTGGAATTTGAGAGGAGTTATATAGGTATGTCACTGGTTCATATGTATTCAAATTCGAAAAAAAAATCCAGTTTTTTTTACAAAACCTCAGATCTACATCCGGGCAGACAGAAGTGAGTGATCTGCTACCTACCATGACTTGTATAATTTTTTTGTGAAGAATAATCTCCCTGGAAGTTAATTGAACAGGGTTAATTTTCCTGAATTCAGCAGGGACTTGTTAACTACCACTGTGAAACTATCGTCTTCATGAATTATCCTACTCTTCAAGAGGTGATACATTTCTTCCTGGCTACACCAACAAGCCTAGTGGGTTTGTTAACAGGATCAAGGGTTGGTGATATGGAAAGCTCCTGCTCTTGAGGATAATTGAGATCATCGAGCCGACGCTCATCTTCTCTGTAGACTTACATCTTTCGATTACTTCATACTCCATGAAGAATCTCACGAGTAACTAGGAGAAGGGGATCCTGGATCCTGGTCTCTGAATTCAATACAATCAAATTACTGTCATTCAAGTCCAAATTGTCTACAGGTTTTCATTGAGATATAAAACTCCTCATTTTCTCCGAAGCACTTGATATAGCTGAACAAAAGGCAAAGGAGATACGTTTTCTTGCAGTAATTATCAACCAGAACATCCAGAACATTGGATTTCTGATCTTTTACACTGGATCTTTGATGTTAAGCAAAACAGTTTTGGAGAAATGAGCATTCCTGAGGAACATCAGCGTTAAGGGTGAATTTATCTGTGGAGCTATCAGTAAATCCCCATGTTACACATTCAAAAGCATTAGGAATATAAACCGTAATAGCTTAAAGCTACTCATTTTTTTTCATTCCATTTTTCTATATTTCCTATTGATTTTCCCTTCTGGAAATCATATTGATTGGTTGATACTCAAGATATTTCAATTGAAAAAGCTAATGTCTCAGCGAAATATATTGTGATATATTTTTCAAATAAAGTTTGTGTAGATCAAATCATGAGGTGTAGTTTTTGAAAATGATCTATAGCTATGTAGAAACATTTATCTATTTCTCCATATACAAAATGTTTGGCAATTTTTTACAGGTATATTCAAATGTCTTAGCTTGTTGTACCTTTTTTATAAAGACATCATTTCCTATAAGCTCATTAACAGTTACTTCAGACGTACCTGATAATCAGAGCTGAAACGGAAGTCGGTTCAAAAAAAGCAGAAGGTTTCAAACTATGAACACTCGAGAGGGCTTTTTAACGTTCATTAATATCCCTCTTAAAATTGTTGACATAACAATTACAAAACAGGAAAACTGTATATGAATATCTGATTTGATTACCCTTTTCTAGTCACATTTTTCGAAATCGTGATGAAGAGACTCTCAAATTTATCTCGTATTCGTGTTTGGTCGACAACAATGTTCAAAAATATAATAATAATAATAATGAATTTATTTTCAAAGTCATATTTACATTTATCTACTATTCACAATAGTTTGAAACAGAAAGAAAGAAAGAAAAACCCTACTGAAATCATTCTCGTGCGTAGGGATTTTACATTTCTCTACTAAATTCAATTTATGGTAACCGAGGTATTTTAAATGAAAAATGAATAATATTTATTAGCGTTGAATAACCCACCCCACTCCGTTATACCATATTGGATTAGTGATTCCACTAATGCAAAGATGACATAAATGTAATATATTTTTCAGTTGCTTGAATTTGTAGATCATTGATCGCAGTTTTTTCACAATATTTTGTATATGTTCATCTCACTTGAGAAAGCGATCGATTTCGATATCTAAATAACGCACATTTTCTGCTTCTTTTATTTTTGATATATTGCCATTTGAGTTCACATTGAGGCAATGAAAAGTTGGTTTATTTTTGATGTTAGAGCTGAAGGATAAGTATTTATTTTTTCAAAATTTATGGTGAGGCTCATATCATCGAACAATTTCTTTGAATTTTCAAGGTCGTCTTCTGCTTTATTTTTGGCTTCTTCACATGTGTTTCCAGTATACTGTATACTGTAGGACGTGATGTAACCTTGTGATTTGTTTTCTAATAATTTATTCATGTACATTGTGGAAAGCACAGCCCCTTGCGGTACACCATATTCAGTTACTCTTGGTTCACTCACGATGTCGTCAATTTGCACGTGCTGGATTCTGCCTAATATATAAGATTTCAGTAATTTTAAAGTTATTCCTCTGAAGCCATAGTCTTCTAATACATCGAAAAGTTTTTTATGCTGTACGGTATCGAAAGCTTCAGCTAAATAGAGACAAATACAAATTGTAACCTTGCTGTTGTCTAAGTCTTTATATAATTGATTTGTTGAATCGACAATGGCATGCTCTGCAGATCTCCCTGAATCCAAATTGTTTATCAGATATGATTTTATTTTTGTCAAGAAATGATGTTATTCTCAATTCAATGATTTTTTCAACAATTTCAGCTAAAGTGGAAATGAGCGTTATTGGTTTGTAATTTCCTATAAGTTTTTTACTGCCTTTTTTAAATAACAGTTTAATAAGACCAATTTTCCAACAAGCTGGGAAAATACGCGTTTCAAATATTTTATTTAACAAGTATTCAAGTGGTTTTGTTATATATTTCGCGATAAGTTTTATTACATTCGATGTTATTTCATCGAGTCCTGGAGCCTTGTTATTTTTATTACATTTATACATTTCATTATTTCATCTTCATTGGTAGGGTTGAGGTAAAGAGAATCCTTCACAAAAGTTTGTTTTACGTACAAGTTTTTTGGTTTTGTGATTTTATTGGACATTTTTATATCTATCTGTATTCATTAGGGATTCATTAAATTTATTAGATATTTCCTGTTTGTCACAAATAAGATTATCATTATGGATTATTTCTTCGATATACGTTTTTGGACGTTGTTTATTGGTGAATTTATTCACGACCTCCCAAATTGTTTTGCTATCTTCAACGCTTTTTATTTGATTCACAAAATACCAATTTTTCACTCTTTTTATTAGACCTCGAAAATATTGTCGATATGTTTTATATTCACGTTCGATTTGGGTGTTACAAGAGTTCGTTAAAAATTTTCTATAGAGATTTTGTTTCTTTTGAATTGTTGTGGCTGAACCTTTTGTCATCCAGGGGTTTCTTTTTTTGTATTTGTTCTCGTTAATCGTTATTTCAGTGGTAGCAAGGTTGACTGTATTACTTATTTTATTTGTGAAGTCGAGAGTAGATACTTCTATATCATCTATTTCATGAAATGATTCCCAAGAATGTTTGTTGGTCTTCAGGGCAAAGATCGTTCACTACAGATATTTTTTTTCTTTTCAGTTTCAGGATATTTTTATATATTTCTTGTTTAGTTGAGTAGGTTGCAAAGTCTTCAAGAATACTCAAGAATACTCTTCAAGAATACTCTTCATCTTTACCTATAGGTTGGCAATTATTGATATCTGATCTCACAATCTGTATTTGAAAAAGTTTCTTCAATTCTTGCACTATTATGGAAGATAAATTTTCAGAAGGTAACTGACGACCAAATATTACTAAATTATTCTTCCTAGTACGACGTTCTAATTTCAGATATTTGTTTCCAATTTGGTCGACCCTATTTTCAAGTTGTACGCTCTTGGTTTGGTAAAATTTATCACTTTCCTCAATCTTTTTCATTAATTCATTTGTTTGTTCTTCTTGAGATTTCATCATCAAATCATAAAATTGTTACAAGGATATATCATTTCATCATTTTCACGTAGTAAATATGGCACCATAACTATACAATATTTACATTTTCATTCTACTGGTTGGTGACCGATGAATCTTCCCTACTACTGAGTACCGAAAAATATGAACCTGTAACTGAATGAAACATGAAATAGCGAAATACGTTTTCATTCAATTCGTTCGAATTCTGAATACAGTTCGATGGCATGAACATTTCAGAGTGGAAGGGATTGAAAGGGAAAAATTCATCAATGAAATGGGATTGTTGGCAGCTGAAGATCTACCTTGGTGGATACAATGTAAAAAAAAAAATTTGTAGGGTTGGTTGATTTTGTTTTGCTCTTTTCAATATCATGCTTCACATAAAGGTATTTTATTGGACAAGGAAGATCCAGTTAAAATAAGTGAATAGATATTTTTACACAAATTTGCACATTTCAAAGACTTTTAAAATCAATCTCTAACGTGACTATATATCCATGGGAGATAATTTACAACCTTGGTGTAAATGCTAGGATAATCTTCTAGGCCGCATGGATTGGCACCAAAAGAAACTATTCCTTCCTGGTACCATTGCGTGGGATCTGTCTTTGTTTCTTTGAGAAGCGGTCCACCACCATCACCTACAAAAAAGTTTAATGAGTTCAAGAGGTATGTTATTGCGAAAATACAGATTATTCCATTCAATGAAGATAACTTTCAAAGAAAAAGGGTGTTTTCAATTTGAAATCCATGACATGTTTTATATCTGAAAGTTTGTTTTATTTTATTTTATTAAAAACTTTGCTACGATTTTACTAATTCAACATTGCTTATAGTTGTTGCACATTTACAACATTTTCTTCATCTTTTTGGAAGAAAGAAACCAAAAACATGTTTTCCGAAAACTGATCTCTCATAGTAAAAGTATCATTTCAACAAATGAGATTTGTCTGGCTGAAACTAGTTGAATAAATTAATTTTACAAATATTTATTGTGAATGGAATCAGTCGGTAACAGTTTTCATGAGAATTCAAGCGGAACTCCTTCAAAAGGCAATTCTGAGAAAAATAATACTGAGGGTTTTGTTTTTGAAATTTGAAAGTGAACAATGAGATTGATAGCCTTCCATGTAAGTTCAATTCCTCTCGGCCTGAAACAAAATATTTCCAAAAATTGTGTCGAATGTGTCGTATCATCATTTGTCATAATGTTCCTTTATCTGTCTATCTGTCGTATCGAAAAACATTTTTTTTCATTCTCTTGACGACGAATTGTGTATTCAAATCAAAATTTCAGTCTTTGTTTCCTTTGATTCCATTAACATTTTTCGATTTTTTTTTTCAAAAACTTCTAGTGACAAAAAATTGTACACGACTTATCTCATTCTGTTCGAAAAGGTGAAAATCATTTCAGAAACTGCAAAAATTTTGATGAATGAAAAATTTTTGTCAGCGGAAGACAAGTTGGGGCTGAAAACTGAAAATATTGATGAAACATATGAAATCTTTTCTGTCGCTCTTGGAAAATGAACAGAATATTTCCTTGCAGCTTTGTCATTTTTCACAGTTTCGTCGTAATAACTTCAATTCATAAAATATGGATGAAAATTGGAAACACTTAATTTTTTCAAAAGAATGACAATAGTCAAAATTGTCATGAAAGAGTGATATTCAACTCGAAAAGTCTAATAAAATGATTAGGAAATATTGGCCTGAAAATTCTTATCGACTTGGAAAATTTTGTCAACAAATAACAGATTGAAACTGAATATTGGAAATAATGGAATACGTCTCAGAAGCTGGTTACTTTTTATTGACAAAAGGACTGAAATACTTCAATGTAGTTTTGTCGTGATTGCTTCAACTCGGAAAATGTTTTTGAGAAATTAAAAAAATCATATTTGCTTTCAAAACATCACAATATTCCAAAATAATCAATGAGCTAGCGTTACAGATCCTTAGCTCCTCTGCCAAAAACTTGTTCACAAATGTAAAATCAGTCTTCACATTGAAGGAACTGATCGTATGTTATTTCATTCTCTGGGTAAAGGTTCTCGTCGTTTGGCCAATATAATGATAGTAAAAGTTGAAATCTCACAATTAAGTATCACCTGAATATTCTGCAAAGTGTCTTGTCCCTAATTCACGTACCTTGACAAGCATCTCTTTTGTGTTGACCTCCAGCACAGAACTGTGAGTCTGCAAAAGTGATCATCTTCGAATATTTCGATTCACATTGTTCCGTAGATACTACCGGCAGCTTCACCTTTTTCTTGATAATCACCTCACTTTTCTCCCCATCTCGCTCCCATTTCGTCAAAGTTAAAAGGTCACCAGTGGTTGAAGATTCATCAGATGCTGGTAAACATATAGGTCTGATGAATCCTGAAGAAAATCAGGATATAGTAAATATTGCTCACCATATTTTTAAATGATGAAGAGCGTCTATGAAGTGACGAATAGATTCACTGAGAACAAAAATGAATTTATTTGACAATTGAATATACAGGGTGACCTTTTCAAAAATGACGTCAAAACCATTTTCAATGATGTATTCAATTTTTTCAATTTCTGGAGTTATCGTATCGGGCTGATTACACAAATACTTACACAGTTACTTCTAATTGGTACAAAATGGGCTAAAATACCAGATCTATGAGCTGTTTAGATAATAATGAATGTTATATAAAATATCAGTTGAATATTATTCGTTTCCGCTCCACGACTCTACTATTGATTGTCTGAAGATATTTTTCACTATTTGTTTAAATCTTCCACAGCCGGAAATCCAATGAAAATTGTTGTTAGCTACGCTAGATATCCGTGGTTCACTGAATAGATTAACTCCAAATGCTCAAAACTGTGATGGGTAATCTCAGTAATAACTAATAAGCTCAATAACAAATATACCAACCAGGTCGCAACGCATTGACGTAACTACTGCTGAAGATCGCAGTTGTGTGCAAATGGTTCAGAGCTATCCTCTCCATATCTACCGTTCCCAAAAACAGAGAAGACGAATTCAGTACAAAGAGTATGGAAAATGTAACACAACTAGATCGTGAACATGTTTGTCATTCTGCTCAGAATAAAGAAAAATATCGAGAACAATGACATATCTACATCTCATTAAAATATTCAACAAGTAGTTAAAAATCCACATTACATGATACTGGGACTACTTGTAAAGTTCACAACATCCAACGTAAGTATACCTTTCGAGAAGGGTAGCTTGTAATATCCTTCAAAGCACATTGGACGTTGGTCACAGTTGGTGTCTGAGGGAGCAGATGTCTGTCAACCCCAGCAAAACTGTGATGATCCCCTTCATCAGGAGGAGAAAATTGGACGATCTAATGCCACTCTCCTCCAATGGTGAGGTCATTCCATTTGGAACGAAGGTGAAATATCTTGGCATTGATTGTCATTGATAAAAAACTCACCTGGAACGCTCACTTGGAGAAAAATTTACACGAAGCCAGACTGTCCCTAAGGACATATTGAAGGATTTGAGGATGAACTTGAGGTTTAGGTCCCAAACGAATCCATTGGGTTTATGTGATGATTGTCAGACCAATGATCACTTATGGTGCAATTGCCTGGTGGCCGAAGGCTTCACAGAAAACGGCCCAGGCGAAACTCTCTGGTTTACAGAGACAGGCTTGACTGGTCATCAGTGGGGCCATCAGTATCACACCGTCAGCGGCCATAGAGATCCGTCTAGATCTACCTCCTCTCCACATTTTTCTGGAGAGAGAGGCTAGATGGACTACATACAGAATTGTGCACATTGCCAATTGCTCAAATGAATTCAGTGAAGAATGAAACAGACCGATAGTTGACACTGGAATTCACAGCATTCTGGAAGTGACCTATGACTCTATGCCTCTAACTGTCAACTATGAATTGCCTTATGAAGTTCTGTTTCTGACTAGAGAGGACTGGATCCTCCCAGAGAAGGAAAATATAGGAACAGATAGTTGTTGTTCCATATATGGATAAAAAAAACACGTTCCGGTTCTAGTGCAAGTATTTTCAGTCGCAGACCCAAGACAAAGATATCTATCTGCCTAGGAACCTATGCGACTGTATTTCAAGCGGAAATTTATGCTATTGAATTGTGTGCGGAGAGATTTGAAGAATCAAACCTCAAACGACTCTCCTCGATAGGAAGACTTCCAATAGAAGGCCTGGAAGGCAATGAGGCTGCTGACTCTCTTGCAATGGAGGGTGCTGCAAGCAGCTTCATCGGACCAGAATCTGTCATTGATATCGCTTTGACCTTAGCCAGTGACCTTACAGGTCACTGTCATTTGAATCATCATATGCTGAGACTGTCAGAAGACAGTGTGAGTCGCCTCAGTTTGGAAAATGATGAAACAGCAGAGCACATACTTTGTTCCTGCCCCGCTGGGAACCGCATCAGGTTTTTGAAGTTCGGCAGAGCCGTACTCTTACCATCTGGCCTGAAAGATCACTCACTATACAAACTAATCGGCTTCGTTGAGAAGAAGGGTTCATTTGGTCGAGTGTGAATAGCTGTGAGCCACAATGAACTCTTGCGGGTTGCGGTAGAGGGTCGAATAGACTGACTCACTTCAAACCTAACCTAAGTATATCTTGTTAATGACATAGCTAAAAAACACTTCAACAAAAGAAATGCTCAAACATTAGCCAGAATACTCGCCTGTTGAAAATCAATCCTGATGGCAAGGATACTGTACGCAATGATCACGAAAGTTCAATACGTGGGTATAGAGCAAAAAGCCGTTATTGATCCTGATTTATTACAATTCAAAAGGTGCTTTGTGTTTGAATGTCTGAGAATACTATAGTTCAATCCAGCGTTTTTCCGATACAAAAATAGATAATACTACAGACCGTACAATCCGGTTCCAACAAGAGAGTGCACCGTCACATCTCATAACAATTGTGTGGAGTTTGTTTATAGTACCCTTCCAGGTCGGTGAATAATAAATAGGGACATCACAGAATGTCCCAGAAGTTCACCTCATATCAGCCCATCAGATCATTTGTGGAGTAAATCTATCAACAGGCAGGGTCAATATTCTTCTTCGTAAGACAGTTCAAGTAGAAAATAAAGAACTTTTTCTATGCACATAACTGCACCCAACAGCCAGGACATTGTTTCTTATCCCTCTCAGTTTACCTAAACGAAAACGAAATAGTATCTCGAGTTGTACCTGTGGACCATCTTCTGGAATATCTTCTTCGGCAGTGGTTATAGTAAACTGAAGGGATCCTAGTCAATTGGTCAATACCGAGATTGGCCAATACTCAAGGTGCAAGATTCCCATTGCAGCAACGCTCCCATAAGGGAGCATTTGTAGGTTATACCCGATGATGTAATAGATTCAGCTAGCTGTATAGGGTTTTATGTATCTAGTTTGGCGAATTATCGTTTGAGTGAGAGCGTCTGCTGATTTGCTTTTCTTGCTCCACAATTTTGTACCAGGAAGATTCATAAAATAATCTGCTCCTGAGGAGTCGTTAAGTTGTTTCCGAATTGAACTCAGCCTCCCTCATACATTTGTTAACAAGTTCCAGCTCTTGTTGTTGGTCCTAATCCTAAGTAAGAGAAAGGAAAGTTTGATGTAATTCGTAGACTCAGATACTGAAGATATCATTTATAGAGATGCAAAACAAGGTAGGCCCTAATACGATGCCCTGGGGAACACGTCGCGAACCTTCCGTGAAGGAAAGGTTCACGAAGTGGAAAAGTCGTTCTTTTATGTGTTGATATAGACCTCATTTATACTCACTTGAATATGGAACATCCTTCTTCAATCGGATGAGGGCTATGTCATTATAATGATTTCTATCAGTTATACTGTAGTTTTCGTGAAAAATAATTTCTTCAACTTCAATATCCACTGGACGCTCATTGCAGTTGTTTGGCGTTAGACAGTCAATTTCTGTTTTTGTACTGTATTCCCCAAAGCGTACACCAGTCCTGAGCATGAACAATTGATATTAGGATTTGTCAAAAGATATCTGAAGAGGATAGATACATCTTAATGAGGAAATAAATATTTCTGAATGGAATTTCGAATCTCTCCCGACGTACATGGGAGATTCATCTTCCACTTGGGAATTTGTTCACGAGATGGAGCTGTAACCAGTTCAACCTAGATGAAGGTATCATACATGCAGTCGAGCCACAGTAGAATGCTGAAGATCCAGTAGTGTCACTATCCACACATTTTGGTAATGAATCACAATGCGCATAATCGAATCATAGAGGGTTTTGGGTGTGTTGTGAATTGCCTCAATAATTAACAACGTTGTCATATCTCAAACTTTTCATGGAATTTACCATTCTTGGCTTGACGACTTTTTGCTTGTGGAATCATAAGAAGAGAAAGTTTATTGTGGCTAATATAACCACTTCGCTAGAAATATTCCAAGTTCTGATTTATTTCTCATTGTATTCTTATTTTGGAAGATATGAAAACAATATTTTGGGGACTGAGAGTACCCCAACGAATATGTTACCAAAAGGTTGAAGTTTGCAAAGGGAGAGCAAATAACGATTTCAGCATTCCTTAGTTCGTGGTACTCAAGAGGTGTACTCAAGAGGTGTATTTGTAGCAGATACAAATGATATGATTTCATTCAGTGTTGATTGAAAAAATAAATGAATAATTTTGTGCAATTGTTTTGTACTTATTTGATATATAGCACATTCTCTGGATGTCATTAACCAAATAAAAAATGTGTCAACACTCATTTCCGGCAATAGTCAGATTAACAAAAAATTCAATCAGATAATTTTTTTGATATGTTGAAAAGTGAAAAGTTTGGTATATTTTTATCATCAAAATTTTGTTCATTAGTATACCAACAAAACCAGAATTGCCAATGAGGTCAATTCCAAATTTATAGAAATGGGTGAGGTTTCAGCAGGAAAAATAATAAAAAAATCCTGATTTTCAAATAAAATCAATGAAAATACCAAATTCAATTATATTGAAAGAAGCTGATAGTGAGAAAATTTTGAATATCATCTATCAACTCAAAAATAACAAGTTACTGTGGGCCTATGGAATAAGGGCCGAAGTGTTGAAGTCAATTGCAAATTATATATTTGAACCTCTGAAATATATAATTATCACCAATAAATACCAATAAATAGTGTGTCCAATATGTAAAAACGGGGACGAAACTTCTGTGACTAATTACAGACAAATATATCTGATCAAACGTGTTAGGAATCACACGTCAAAAGGTAAGACCTCGTTAATCCTTAGCTCGCACAAGTTTCGACTTCTGAGGGTTGTCGTCAGTAGGGGTGCGACAGCTGGTTAACGGAAAAACAGATTTTAAACAGATTTTGAACAGATTTTTTTCAAACCGTTCATCAAAAATTCTGAAAAAATACATGAAAATAAGATTAGTAAACTTCATCAACAAATATCATTCAATTTCTGGAAAACAATTTGGTTTCAAAGAAAGAACTTCCACAGAAGATGCTCTTTTGGAGTTAACAAATGAAATGCATAAAGCCCTAGAAAATGGAAAGCCTTGTTTATGTCTCTTCATTGACCTAAGCAAGCCGTATATTAGTACAAATATTAGAAAAGAAAGGGATTCAAATAAAATGTCTCAATATTCTGAGTACTTATTTAGAAAAAAGAAAACAGGTAGTAAGAATAGGTGATGAAATGAGTGAGCTGCAATAAATTGGATGTGGTGTACCTCAAGGTACTGTTCTTGGACCTGTTTTTCTCAACCTTTATGTCAAGGATGTGTTTGAACTGAACTGTGCAGGAAGACTAATTGGATACGCCGATGATACTACAATATTCTATGAGGCGGATACTTGGGAAGAATTGAAAAACATGGTGGAAAATACACTGGCACCTAGCTCAGATATCGTTTGGGTAATCGTTTAGAAAAGATAGTTGTTGCCGACCAATGTTCCACTCATTTCCAGCTCCACGTAGGCTGTTATGACAAATACCTGTCTGATCAACTATTTTCCTTTCTAGTGCCATGACGGTATTGAATTCAATCAATAAAATCTCTGTGCGATGTTCCTCACAGAAGAGGATTCAAGGTACGAGGACAACCTAGCTGAAACCAATCAGCATATTTTTTTCGATATGGGCAGGGTGACTACCTGCAGGTAGATCTGGCAACTATTTGTGCAATACTCTCCGAAGAAAACATTTTTGCAGTAGTAATTGTTGAAAAGCAATAAGTTTTATTTTTTATTCAGTTGAGAATAACTACCTGCATACATGTATGTTTTTATGTTGTTGCATCTCAAGAGGACCGGCTGGTTGGACAAGCAAATCAATTTTTCCATTCGTTTGAAATTTTCCGACACGCTTTCCGAATTTTGTTGAATTTTTTTAATGTTTCATATTATTCATACAGTATGCAAAAATATTGCATTTCATGCAGTTCTGGGCTATGTTTGAAGTTGCAAGTTCTTTTAGCGCTTCGATAACTTATTTTCAAATCGATTGCAAAGTTTGAACCAAAGAGACAAGGAGCAGGTAAAAACGTAGAACAATTTGAATAAAAAATTCGGAGCGCTTCATAATATTCTACATTACTACAAAACACCAATTTAATTTTCCCTGAAACTTGTTTCACTGTCGAACAGTTTATATTTATTAATCACTTGTTGAGCAGTGTAGGGAATGTCAAACGCTGACAAATCCACTCGTGACGGGCAATTATGCGTAGTAGTCCTAAATGAAAATAAAACTGTGAGACACAAACATCAAAGGTTTCGACAAGAGTGACACCACTGGTTTCAGCTTTACTGTGGTCAAGCTATCAAGGATCTATCCTGTACTGATTAGAGATTATGATTCGAAACATATACGTATATATCTTTCCTCGATACAGACTTCAGACACATCTTGATCTGTGGTAAAGTTATATCACGATTTTTATTTATATGTAATATTTCAATTAATGAACATTTCTAAAGTAGACTTACAGTTTTCCTGAATGTGGATTGGCACAATGAGCAGCAGTCAGAACGTAACGTGGTGATATCAGAGATCCAGAGCATAAAAATCTGATCTTTCCAGAAGACAAAGTGTACTGTAACAGTGCTGTCCACGGAGACTCTGCTAAGCCAACTTCATCTTCAACAGTGGCTGTATCAATTTCCTACAATATTATTTCATTGATATTTATGAAGGGATTTGTCTATCCCCAAAATTGGTAAATATTCATTTCAACCTTTCAATCAAATGTTTGAAAAATGAAAATTCGTTCCTTATTTATCACTAGCGTACCGCCCCGCCTCCGCACGGGTGCAATGTCGGTACTAAATATAAGATTCGTTCTTAGATTCTTTCAGTGAGATGTGTACAACATTCAATTGCAATTTTTATGTAACTTCATTGGTACAGACAACATCAATAATTTGGGAACTATGTTTCCAACCCAAACTTTGAAACTACTGCAACTATCTGGAATCACGTAACAAACTGTGAGAATTGACAAAAGGTAGGTTGGTCAAGCTGGGTGAGCCTCTAATAACGAGAAGAGAAGAACACATTTCACAAATTCGGTATCATAAACCAGACAAGTCTAGTATAGCTGATTATGCCTCAAAAAGCAGCCATAGAATAGGCAAAAAATGTGAAATTATTCACGGAGAATTGAAAATATCTGGAATTGACATCTCGGCAAATTCTATGAATGGCACAGTTTAGGACTTCATGATTCAAAATGATCAATGGACTTGGAAAATGTCAAGAAAACTCATAGAATCGGGTTCATCTCTCTTAGAGAGTCAAACAAAATACTTCACTATAAAGTTTTGCTGTAAGTTGGAAATCTGAAAAATCGAATTTTCCGTTGGAATATTGAAACTATCTAACAGTTGGGATTAGGAGCAAAACACTTTTTGTCGTGTGGGTTGATGTCGACACCACCCTTCAAATTCCAATTTGAACAAGTGATCATTTTTCAGAACGTGAATTTTCATTACCTAACGCATAATTGATTGAAATTTATATTTGAAACATAAAACCTAGAAAAACATAAATCTGCCGTAGATAAATTTCGAACTTTCCTCATTTCCATACTGCCTCAAAATCCTCTCAAATGTAAAATTCACCAATAAATTAAATAAAACAATTCAATCAGTACCTGAAATCCACATATAGATCTTGAAGGAATATTTTGATTTCCTGTTGTTCGGGAGATGTTGGATGCTGAAACAAACAAATTATTCATCATTCGCAAGAAAAAGAGGTCAAACAGAGCAACTCATATCTTGGACGTATGGCGTGTTATTTTCGTATTCATATAATAACATAAAATCGACAGAATAAACAGAACGGGAATATGATAACAGGTTTTGAACACAATTCATTTTTGTGAAGGGAATCAGAGCTTAACATTGGTTTTTTCATAAATGTTCGCCTTCCACGTGTTCTTCGAACTCAAACCTTGTTATTTTTGAGCAATACCAATCGAGCAGTTATCCATGCAGTGCTGTTTGCTCTCAGTATTGCTGAATGATTGAGCTTTCTTCAAAAAATGAAAATCTATTCATGAAATTTCAGGGTGTTGTATTACTATTGAACAATACTTTGATTTCACGAAGTTACTAATCGGGATGAACTGAAAAGTTAACCTTTTCTATACCTGTATGAAAATCTTCCTTGAAAAATGATAACAGACTTTCCCCACACTTGTTTCAACTGAATCAACTCAAATACGTTCAATCCAAAAATAATAATTTACCGCATATATAATGGAAAGTTTCCAAATTCGTGAAAAGAAGCAAAACAGCAAAGAGCCACTTTATGTTCCAAGACATATTGAAGTAAAAACGATCTACAAGCAGTAGAAAATATTTCGCAAGCTGAGCAATTGACTCAAGGGAGCATCACAAATCTATAGAGAAAGGATTCATTACAATGCTGATTGCATACAACGCCAAAGAAAGTTCATATGGTACATTCAACAGCATCAGGAGACATTCAATATGGATTCCAATCTGATTTATCCACCCAAGATGCTACTCTTTCTCTGGTCAATCATGTTTTATCCAAATTTGAAAATGGCGAAAAATCGCTCAGTATTCTATTTGATTTGTCACGTGCATTTGATACCATCAACCATCAACTTCTCCTCGATAAACTTTATGATACTGGAATTCGCGGCCAAAGTCTAAAATGGATTGAGACTTATCTGACTGGCAGATTACAATCTGTTAAGGTTAGGCTCAAATCTGGAATATATCATTCTGAAAATCGTAACATATTAACAGGTGTTCCCCAAGGTAGTGTCCTGGGCCCTACTTTCTTTCTCTTATTGGTCAACGACATCTCTAATATCAATCAACAACATTGTACTGTACAGTTTGCTGATGATACGTCCTTCTTATTGAGTTCTTCTTCTTGCGAAGAGTTATCTGACCAGGCTGATATTGCAATTGCTAATATGCTTAATTACTGCGCCAGAAACGGCCTCGTACTAAATAGCAATAAATCTAATACAATTGTTTTCTCGCTTAGAGAAATGGACTGCAGTATATTAGTTAGAGCTAATACTAAATCTATTGTGCAGAAAAAATCAGTCAAATTCTTAGAGTTGAACATTGACTCCCAATTATCCTGGAATGATCATATTGACTCTATTTCTATAAAATTATCCAAGCATTGTTTCGTCCTTTGGAATCACAGAAATTCTGTCCCTAAAAATATTTTATTAAGTTACTACTATGCCTATGTTCACTCAAGTCTAAATTATTGCTTAGTCTGCTACGGTAACAGCAGCAAATTGAATGATCTGTTGATTACTCAAAAAAAGATACTAAGAACCTTGTGTTTCAAAATATATGGTGATTCTTGTAAGCAGTTATTTACTGAGTTACGAATTTTAACTGTGATATCCATGTATATTTTGATCTGTGTCACTTACATTAAGAATCATTACCATGAGTTTCAGCAAAGGGGGGATACTATCCGCATAGCTGCTGGTTATACTCTCAGGCAAAATTATAATCTGATAGTTCCTGTACACAAATTGACATCTGTATCAAACGGACCTATTGTATTGTATTGTATTGTAACAGAAAGCCTAACCAAAAGGCTAGTTGTGCGGCCATTTTCAAGAGAAAAAAAGGAGAACGACCCCCTTCGAATCGATATACTGAAACGAATATCCATCTGAATAATCCAGTCCAAAACTGTAGATTCGTCAATGGTATTAGATGAAGTTGCCAAAGTGCTAACTGTAAGAATCTTTGTACAGCTTGAAATGAGTCAAAATTTCAGCAATAAAAAACACTCAAATAAAAAAATTTTTGCTAGACATTACTGTGGCTTCAATTATAGAAATAACAGCACTTCTGTGATTAGTAATTCATTTATACGATCTTCAAATAAATCTCTAACGACTTCAGTGGATTGACATTGCTGCCAGTGAACGAGAGAGGTCAAGGTTGAGGTGAAGTATATCTGTAGGTGTGTCTTCATTGGTTGTTTTTAGGTGTGTTCATCGTTTTCAAGAATAGTAACAGCATAAATTTTGAAAATGTTACAGTAATTTTTGGCAAAGTTTTTGACACTGAGGGGTTTTTCTTCTATTATAGAATTACCATTTTCTCAATTCGATTCGAACTGATACATCACATTTTATTGTCACTAAAAACGCATTTCGAAATGTGTGCAGCTGAGTAGAATGTTATTAAATTGCAGAAATATCGAACAATATCATTTGAAATATGTTGGATATGAATGTTTCAAAATTCAAATCTCTCAATTTTCTTCAAAATTGTCCTTTTTTTTTCTATACAAATAAATAATGAATATCTTTCAACAAACATTCTTCAAAAATTGAAATCATATAAAGAACCGACATTAATTTGTTAAAAGAAATAAAATTGGAAATATATATAAGCCTCAATAGATTTATTGGAATAATTGTCGACAAATGAAAATCAACTTTTTGATTTACGAATGAATAAAAACAAATGCAAATATTACTTGATTTCAAAATGATTTTCAAATCAGAAAGGGTTGAAAAGTTGTCTATTCAGAATGAAAAAATTGAAAACAGCATATATTATAAGCCAAGAATGGAAGTTTTTAATGTCAACCCAATGAAAATATTACAAATATCGAAATACTGGAATTGACACGTTTGCAAACTGTAGACATCTGAATTTATGTAGTATAATTCACGAATTTGGAAAAAATATGTTCATAATAATCTATTTCACAGCGATATTTCTTACTTTTTTTCTTTCAAATCATTATAATAAGAAAAAAGGAATCTCTCAGGAACTTTGGTGCTCTTGATAAAAAATGAATAAAAAATGAAGTATAACCAGTGATGGATATTTTTGAATATTAAAGACAAACAANTTTTCGAATATTATAGACAAACAAACGCATTTTCTGGCTCATATGTATACATTAAGTGTGGAAAAGTTCCCGATTCATTTGATTATAGAATTTGCTCACCTGCAAAAATCCCATTAACTAATATTAAATGAGCTGCAAACCAATAACCGCAGTAGCGCATCATTTCAATTTTCAGTCTGATGTCTGAGGATACACTAATGGGCTATGTTCACTTCGCTAATACAGTTGTTTATGAATTAGTTGTTTTGTGCGATCAACCGGTGTTGAACTGGTAATTCCAGATATTCATAACATGATTTCTTCGTTTATTTACCGATCGAGAAGCGGGTTCTGGTTTTCCTCCATAATTGTTTTGTTCGACCTGTTCTTATAAAAAATAATCACAAACATTCATGGAATATAACAAATTGTTTAATTGAAAGGCGAATATTTCAAGAATGAATTAGGTTTTGGAATACATACAGTGTGACACACTCAAGATGAAAATATCCCTCTATTTCAGTCATTTTTAAAAGGTGATGTTTGATTTCAGGTACATCAGGCATACAGGCATAGACCCAGCTCGAATGACAGTCTTAAACCCAGCCTACTGCTATTCTGCGAAAAGAGAAAATTCTCGATACTTTGCTTTCTGTTGGAGATACCGAAATATTATCATTATTATTGTCAATGTCATTTATTCAATTTATACAATGGAAAGACATTGATTTCGACCATTTCCTGTACCTGGTTTTTGTGAGGCCGCTAGCACTATCCACTACAGGAGAATTGCATTTACCGGATACCCTGTGAGTGCGGCAAATCCTATATCGGTGAAAATGAGACGCCATTGAATGTGCGCATTGCCGAACACAAGAGAAATACACAGCGAGAAGAAACCAGCAAATCAACATTACATCAAGTGGTCCCAAACTGAGATCAGCTACAGGGAAAAACAGTGGTTCAAGTGGAAGCTCAAAGAAGCTGCATATATGCAGCTTGATCAATTCTATAAACAAAAAAATAGCATGTATCGAAAACTTAGAAAAAATCCAAAGGATATCGTTTTACATGAAGAATATCAGCTCGAAAGAAAATATTAGATAAGCTCATCAGGGAAGCAAAAAATGAATACTATAGGAATTGTATTGAAAATGGGGGTAATGATTAAAAAAAATGTGGCAAACTGTTAATGAAATAGTAACCGACCAAGATCATACACCTATTTACTTGATAAAAACCAAAAAATAACGAACTCATCAAGGACCCGGTTGAAATAGCAAATAGATTCAACAATTATTTCTTCTCTGTTGGTGGAGATTTGGCGCGAAATATAAATATGAATCCAGACTATTCCGAAAGGAAGAGTATATGTAACCATTTCATTTTTCTGCAACCTACAACTGAAAACAAGATAAAATATATTATATCAAATATGAATCCAGACTATTCCGAAAGGAAGAGTATATGTAACCATTCCATTTTTCTGCAACCTACAACTGAAAACGAGATAAAATATATTATATCGCAACTCAAGAATAAAAGATCTCCTTGCTATGATGATAATATCAAAGCAGAATATCTGAAACTGGTGTCTGATTATATATCGAAACCACTAACACGTCTAATGAATATGTCATTAGAGGAGGGATGTTTTCCCTCAGCTCTCAAAATGGCTGTTATAACGCCTATATGTCAAAGTGGAGAAAAAACCGATGTAGCAAACTATAGACCAATCTCACTCATAACTAGTCTTGCTAAAGTTTTTGAGAAGGTTATTCTAAAGAGATTGAATATGTTTCTTGAAAAACACCAGTTGTCAGAATCACAACACGGCTTCAAAGAGAATATGTCCACCCAAGACCCAATAAAAAAACTGACCCAGCAAATGTATTCATGTTTGGATGAATCAAAACCTTCTATTGCTGTTTTCGTAGACCTTAGGAAATATTTCGACGACGTCGACCACTCTAGCTTACTGAATCTTCTGAAAGATATGGGAATCAGAGGTATAGCAAATAATCTTTTCAAAAGTTATCTTTACAACAGAAAGCAAAGGGTTAAAGTGGGCAATCATATAAGTGAAGAGAAAATTAGTACATTTGGTGTACCCCAGGGGACGGTGTTAGGACCAATCCTATTCAATATTTTCTTGAACAACCTTCTCCTACAAGACATCAACTCCAACATTCTGAGTTTCGCCGATGATACTGTGCTGTTTTGCGAAGACGAAAACTGGTTTAATTCGAAACAGAAATTAGAACATGACCTTTTCCAAATCAAATTGTGGTTCGACCACAGGCTCTTATCTATTAACGTTGAGAAAACCTATTACGTACCAGTGATTATGACAATTCTCTACCAGAATATGACATCAAAATCTCCAATACGGAAGTCATCAAACCCACAAGGAAAATAAAATATCTTGGAACAATTTAAGACAGAAATCTCAGATGAAACCAACACATAGACCACATAGTTAAAAAATTACGTTGCATAGTTTACAAAATTGAATATGATATGATATAATTGGTTGGGGTGGTGTGTCGAAAACTCATCTACATTCCCTTGAGGTTATGTAGAAGAGATTTATCGGATGTATCCTACGGAAAGGTTAGGACTACCCTAGTGATCTACTTTATTCAAAATCTGGAATATTTGACCATAAATATGCTACACGTCGAAATAATAGTATCGTCATACCATTAATGCTCAAATAAGTTGGGCAGAAATCCTTTCGGTATTTAGGACCAAAACTCTATAGTTTTCTTCCTGAAAATTTAAGATGCGAAACAAATCTCAAAAAATTAATGACAAAGATTAAATTATTTGTCAAGAATATTCCACGAGCAGAGATACATAGACAAATATAAATTTAAATATGTACTTACTTCCACGATTGTGGATATATATTGTGTATTGATTTGTTTGTAGTCTGGAATCCTCATGATTAAAATCTCTATATCCATTGATTGTTAGATTTATTTATATTATGTCCAAATGTGTCCAGTTCAAAGTTATGTTTTAATCCATACTTAGTACCCATTTGATACATAAGTGTATTTTTATTCTTCTGTTTGAATATTTCCAGTTTAAACTTATATTTTTATCTGTATTTAGTACTTATTTCAATAGATTTATTGATTTTATTTATTCATATTCTTTTAAAATGTAGCTATTTTGAATTTATATCTTAGTACTTAATTTAAAGCATGAATCTCATTCAATGTCAGATTCAGTATTCTCATGCCTTACACACAGGCAGATCATTTTGCCTCGTAAGATGTATTTTATTTGTTCACTGTTCATTTCTATATGTACATGTATATTTACTGTAAACAATCTTAAGAAAGTGAATAAATACATATCATCATTATTACTATCATTATATGCACAGAGTTCAGATGACCTATGAATAGTCATCTCTTGGAGGAACAGTTCAGTTATAACTCGAAGACGATAATGGATACTAATAATTGAAACGTTGCGAAGTAACTTAGTTTGAAATCTTTTTCAATTCTTTATTAATTTCATTTTAATTAATAAATTCTCAATTTTTTGCTGATTCCATTTATTATAAATTCATTTCACGGTTCATTACTTAATATAATTGATATTCTTTAGCTATTCATTTGACTTTTATTTGTTTTTTCAAATATTTCAAATCATATTAGAATCATATCAGACAGTGGAAGTCCAAATTAGGGAAATTGATAATAAATAATGATCAACAGTCAGTTGGATATATGTAATACAAACAGCACCTATTCAATTATCTGAAAGACACTGCTATATTGAGATCTCAAAAAAAGTCTTTGAATCGTTGAATGGTGTTCCACAGTAATACATATTTTCGCAAATATTCGAAAAATGTTTGAAAAACAGTTCACCAAATTTTCTCAACAACAAAAATATCATTTACACCTACCAGTATAGATTTAGAGAAAATGTATCGACAGATCAAGCTGTTTTTGAATCAACAAATGCGGTATTCAGTTGCTTTCGAAATCAGAAAAATGTTCAACTGTATTTTCAGACCTAGCCAAGGCGTTAGATACTGTCAATCATGATATACTCTTTCAGCGATTGGAGGACGTAGAAGTGAGAGGTGTAGCATTACATATATTCAAAAATTACTCACTAAACAGAAATCAGAGAATAAGAATAAATAACTACTATAGTGATCCACTACAGATTGCCATAGGTGTGCCGCAGGGAACTATCATGGGTCTCATGCTAGTTTTACTGTATGTCAATGATATTTCCAATATTGAAAATTCCGAAGGCAGTTCGAGATCTTACGCTGATAATACGTCTGTAACATTCGTAGGTAATACGTGGAATGAAGGTTATGGAAAAGCCGAAACTGGCATGAAATAAATCCACTCCTGGCTAAGTATCAACCTACTGAGCCTAAATCTGGACAAAACAAAATTCATTATTTTTTTCATTCAAAAAAATAAAAAATAATATCACTTTCGATCCACGAAGTCACATGCCCAGGAAATGCAAGTTGTACTTGCCCTGAGACAAATAGAATCGACTTTGCTATCATAATTGATCGATCACTACGGTGGAACGACCACGTAGAATATACGGTGAAAAGACTTCGAGAACTAAATAATAAATTTGTCAACTCCGAAATGTTCTCAGAAGAGACGTCAAGCTGCTGATTTATAACGCCTTGACTGAGTCAGTCATAAGCTATTGTATCACTGTCATTTTGGGTTATACAAGACATCCTTACATAATTTAGATACGATTCAAAACACTTTAATAATTAAAATAATGATTTTAAAAAAATCGAAGATGTCCAACTGAGTCCTTATATGTGAGGAAAGTGAGGAAAATATACGCCTTTGAATATTCACTATGGACATTGCGTAAACCCAATCAATCACACGCATAATACAAGAATGATAAGAAACCAAGCGACAGTTATACAACGATGCAGACTGACTCACAATCGAAAGTTTTTCACATACTTTGTCCCTCAATCATCTATCTACATACTTAAAACATATGAATAGCCACGAAATACTCAGAACTATTCATTAAAAACCAGTATAATCAATTGAAAAATATCTTTGTTGACTAATGAATCTCAAACCACCATCTATGTGTACTATGCCTATATATCTTCAAATTACCATATCTCAAACATATCTTCATTGATATCAGTTACTAAAGTCTCTATTCAATCTAACTCTATTGAAAACACTTTTTCAACACCAGAACAAAATTAAGGTCTCTCGACGCGCTTTTTTCTAATAAAGTTAGCTTTCTCTATATGCCAGTGGCCTAGCTACTACCTGTTAGTAGTACCAAACTTTTTCTATACCTTCAATTTGCTATGTATTTTTTCCATGTTAGTGACTTTTCCCTACATTTTTTCTCTAATATCTTTTTGTATTTATTTTAGGAATGTCACGTTCGAAACCAAACAAAGGGCCATTCGAGATAGGACCTTTGTCTGCTATTCATAGAACTCGTTCCACACTTTTCGATTTCCAAGAGCTATATAGAATACTATTAGGTATTGGTCCACCATCGTTATTCATAATATTATTATGTTCACTCATTTCTACACTCTCATAGAAATCTAGATTCCTATGAGATGTCTGTCTAACTAATCTTAATGAACTGAAGTCTATGGAATTGTTTCATTGCAAAATATGATGGGCGACTGCTGAATTTTCAGGTATTCCATATTTTAAGTGTGCCAAGTATTCCTTATATCTTATTTTAATAGATTTCTTTGTCTGTCCATAATATTTTGCATCGCAGTCCTCATATTTGATTTCGTAAATTCCAGCCTATTCCGAATTCTCGACTTTGTCTTTCAGGACTTCCTAAGAGGGTCTGTAGTGTATGACTTGTTTCAAAAACCATCTTCATACCTAGTTCCTTGAAAATCTTCCCAAAGTTCTTTGTGTATTGGTGGTATGGAACTGAGATATATTTATCTTGGTTTTTGTCCTTTCTAAAAGTCGAGATTACGTTCATTCTCAACCTAAACTTCTTCCTTCTCATTATGTCATCTACAATACTCCTCGAGAAACCGTTAGTGGCTGCTGTTTCCTGTATTCCCTGTTCGTTTTTTTTGATATTTTGTTACACTGATATCGACCTGTATAAAACTACAACTGGTTCTGTTCTCTAGAATTTAATGAAGAAAAGTGATCTGTAAAAGGAAGAAATATAATTTTAAGTGCATCGGCTATTTAAACTAAAAAACTTTTATCTGATCCGTGAGATGAGTGACCATTTGAACCATTTGGCCCCTAGATATTGTTGGAAATAAATGGAGGACCCTGAATAAATTAATGTTTTGTTTAGAGGGCGCTACGTACACTGTCTTCTTTCATTTCAAATTGCACTTAAAGTAAACTTTTGGTACTTTTCATGAAAAATCCCAAATCATTCGTTTTTGAGGTACACATTGTTGAAATTTTTCAAAACATGGTTAATTTTTGACGAGATTCACCACATACTTAGTTTTTGTATGTTCACAGCAACTACACCTAGCACCCTAGGATAAGTAATATGAATCGATATAAAAAATTATAAATAACTTGAAAACGATCACCTCCAGCGTTGTTGAGAAGGTTATTCATCATTTTTCAAACTATTCCGGTTAGAAAAATTCAAGAAATGAAATATAACAATTGACTTCGTTCTTTATTTTTAAATTGTGTGAAAAAAACGATATTACCATTACTTTCATAGAGAAAGAACAAAATCTAAATCAATTTCTTCATTAGTCATCAAATAAGAATTTCAGTATTTTCGTACATAATCTCTGAATTTCCTTCTTCTTGTTATTCCAGTTACTACTAGGTATTTCAGAATTTGAAATGTATCACCACAATGAATTCCAACAAAACGCCATTCTAATTAATTGATTCTCTTCTGAGGATGTCAGCATTTCGAATGATTATTCACGCCTCCAGAAGAAAACCCCCATGCAAGATCTTTTACGTGAACGTTTGGAAATACCAATCGATTAGCCGGGTAAATAAAAATTTATATACATATATATAAAACGGAACTGGTAAACTCATATCTGACCGCTCAGTGAAGATCGTGTATTATTAGATCGAAGGCAGACTTGGTTGTTGTTTCAGTGGATATAATGTGGTACAAAAAATATGCTGTGATTTTAGTGATAGTTGTGGGAATTTCACAAGTTGAAGGACGTAAGTACTTGGAATATTATACCTGATGTTTTTTTATTTCAAAACTCCATCATAAACATGGTATCTGCTTCATTTGCAGTTTCCGCGATCATGTTAGTCATTGTTGAATTATTTGCTTTGGGTTGCTGAAGGCCAACTTCATTCAGAAACGTATTGAATCGTTAGAGAAAAATTGATAAATACCTTGGAGACATCACAAAACTTTTCACTCCCAAGAACTGATCTCTCCTAAAACAAATTCCTTCAACTCACAGTTTGAACATTTTCAATAATTCCAAAATAGAAGGCTCTGAATTCTTAGAAATGACTGTGACGTTATTCTATGACCATTTAGCTGCGTGTGGATTTTAATAGAAGATGATAAAATACACACATCGTAAAAGTCTAGGGATATTTTTAAAAATGGCAATAATTTTTTTTAGATCGCTTTAGGGAAAAAAAGTTGACGGGTGATTATTAAACGAATGTAACTTACAACAAAATTTATTTAATGGTCAAAAATACTGAGTGCGCATATAAGCAAAACTAAAAAAAAATATGGCTCTTCTTTGGCACTCCGAAAAAAAATCATAATACAAAAAAAATGGGAATCAGTACAAAGCATGGCCTCCACGCTGGTTTATTACGGCCCTACATCTATTGTGCATCGACAACATGAGATTGTCAATGTCTTGTTGAGGTACATTTGCCCATTCAACGATTAAAAGCTCTCTCAATTGAAACGTTGTGTGAATTTTCCCCATATGCGGAGTAATTCTTCGTTGAAGCATGTCCCACACATGCTCGATGGGATTCAGGTCCGGTGGTTGTGCTGGCCATGGCAATACATCAACTCCTTCGTTGGTGAGCCAGTCAGTCACTAGACGCGCGACATATGGACGAGCATTATCGTGCATTAGGTGGAAGTTTTCACCAACAGCACCAGCAAACGGACGGACGATAGGTAGAAGAATGGTGTCGAGGTACTGTCGAGCTGTGAGGGAGCGATTTGGAAAAACGAGATCGGTTCTGCCGCCGAACATGATTCCGCCCCATAGCATTACTGTACCACCTCTGTATGTGTGGACTTCCTGGACGTGTCTCAAACGTTCATTATTTCCAGGTCGTCTCCACAGTCTTACTCGACGAGAATCTGGATGAAATCCAAATCTGGATTCGTCTGTAAAAAAAACTGTGGTCCAATCATTTGCATCCCAGTTTTGATGTTCTTGACACCACTCTAATTTTCTACCGCGATTGCCTCTCGACAAAGGTGGACACCTAAGTGGCCTTCTGTTGTGGAGATCTGCTTCATGCAGTCGATTTCTGACAGTATCACGACCAATGGTTACCTGGTGCGTCTGCTGCAACACGTTAACCAACTCAGGTGCTGTGATTGTGGGTTGTCTTCTTGCGGTTAAGACCAAAAGTCGGTTTTGAACTGCAGTTGTAGCGCGTCCTCGCCCTGGATGTTGTTCGGCTGGACTGCCAGTTTCACGGAAACGCCGCCACAATCGACTGATAACACTCTGGGAGACCCCCAAACGAAGAGCTACAACATTTTGTCGCATGCCATCTTGAAGAAGCCCTACAGCTCTATTCATCTCATCAAGCACAATATTTCCAGTTTAATTGCTGAGCAAGAACTGCATAGAATGTACAAACACGACACTTTCAGATTATTCATTTTATCCGAAAACCTACAGTTTGTAAAAAACTGATTAGTTACCGTTTTTGGTATGACCATGTCTATGATAGTCTAATGAAACGGAAGATATGCATTTTATTTCTTTCCACCATTATATACTGATATTAGGTTATTGAGAAATAATCACGTGTATGATTTGAACGTCATTGACAGTGTTTTTCCTGTGGCGTATCAACTGAATGAAAGATAAGAAATCAACTGTGAGGGGCAATATGTGAAAGGTTACATTGTTTTGACGAAATTAGTAGTTGACTTGATATGCAGCAGTGGCTCCTTGTTACATTCGAAATTATATATTTTTGATATCATTTCATGGCAGGTACAACAATATTACATTCTACAGCGATGCAAATTCTCTGAAAGGAAGAAGAAAAAATAATTGATATCTTGGGTTGAGGGTTTTTGAGAAATTCATCAAGTGAAGGACCTTAGATTGATCCAATATGAAACACCTCGAAATTACTTCATTTTCAAATCTAGATGAAAATAATATCATCAATTAGAGAACAAGAAAATTCACAAGTTCATTGTCTACAAGTTAGTCAATATCTTTTTCAAAAGTTCAGTGTTTGAAGCAACTATTAATTGAAATTTTCAATGGTTACACAGAAAAGTGTCAACAGATATATCAGTGAAATTGGACCCAAATGTCACCAAATATCAGATTTTGTTTTTTCACCAAAGTTTCTATTTCATAAAACTATTTCCATTTTGGTAATTTCATGAACATTTATCTTCAGCACTCCATAAATACATGATGATGTTTCCATTTCTTCGCTAATGGACAAACTCATATTTTTTGACAAGCCTCATATACAACTGAAACAAATTCATGAGCGATTATTGTTATTTCAGGTTATAGTCATTGTGGAGAATATTTTGTTTTAAAATCAATAGTATCAAAGTTTTCCATCTCCTTTCAACTCACTGAATTTGCCTAATCAGAAATTTTGTACCTCCAAATTCCACACAAATGAAGAATTCCATTCGTACTGTCGAATTTCTATAAACTTGGCTACATCTGGAAACATTACTAACATTGACAATGTTATTCTTTAAAATCATCAGGGGAGCGGAAAATATACAGTGTGTCCAGAGTTTGTTAGAGTGATATTTCAAAAGTCGAAAAATTTTGTTTGAGTATAATACATCAGTGAAATTGTCGTCAAAAAAGCTGATTATTTTTTCTGTCCACGTAAAGGAGTGAAATTGGTGATGGTTTCTCAAAGACGAAACGTCTCAATGGAATCTGTAAATGCCATCTTGAACAGATTGAAAAGTGGCAGTGTAAAAGTATCTTTCTGATTGACTCCGCCTCTACGGAATCGAAAACAAAATTAATATGTGCAGAATCTATTTCCCAGCATACCTCTTGATGATACTGTTACTTCAGTCATATATTAGATGAAAATCCAGTGAAGTCAGTTTCACAACAAGAAATCATCCACCTTATGTGGTTATTTTCAGTTCAACAATAATATTTATTCCTTTTCAAAAAGTTTGATCAATGGGAATCCGTCAAACCCCTTACATGCAAATATTTTCATGGATAACCTAAAAATGTCGATTCATATGCGTCCTTGGACGCATACGAGTATTTCTCGTATTCTTTTTTAAAAACCTTGATTGATTTGACCGATACTTGATGAGTATCCATGATTACTAGGAATCGAATGAAAAAACAAATGTTTTTCCCTTAGATTACTAGTATTGGCATAGACATGTCGATGCCGTCATGGAATGTTCCACGGGTTCTTACAGATTAGATGTTCTTCAAAATTCATGAAAACATCAAATTTACTGTTGAAGTAGAAGCAGAAAATTCAAACTCAATCAATCTTTTGGACTTCACAATCAGTGAGATGAACAACAAGCATTATTTTTCAATTTGTCACAAACTTTCCAATACGAATATTACTCTTCATTGCGATCCTATCTATCCATGTCAACACAAAATAGAACCTTATGATAGTATGATTCATAGGACCCAGTAGCACCTACGGCCTGATGACTTCGACTATTGTGGAACTAGACAACCAAACACCTATGCTCAATCCCTAAAGAGATGGAGTGGAATCAAAGGATGCAGTTTTGCCAGGATCACCCTGGGCGACCTTGGGAAGCTGGCGCCGAAGAAATATCTGGTGATGACCAGGAAAATTATACGCTTAATAACAGTACGATTTCTGACTGGTCATTGTCAACTAAGGAAACACCTCCACAATATGGGGCTAGTGGACACACCTCTATGCAGGATGTGTGAACAGGAAGATGAAACTGTCATGCATGTTCTATGCTAATGTCCGGAGTTATCGTCAATAAGAGAGTGTGTGATCGGCGAGTCTTGGCCTATACCGGCCGATATCTCTCAGAGACCTGTCCACCTTCCTGGAAAGGACCTGGAAAGGAAAGGATTCCTGGAAAGGATGACCTAGGAGGACAACTCCTTGGGAGGCTGTACAATGGGTCACATGTGGGCCTACACTCACCCTCCCTACTCTACAGATACAGATACATAGATCAGTACATGTTCTTTTTTCAATAGATACTTTTATTAAGGAACTCAATATCATTAAGCGAATCGCAGCAAAGCGAAAACGATAGACAAATTACTTTCCAAAGGAGCCTACGCAAAAGTGATTCAGGAAGTTTTTTCTATTGATATGTTAGAGAATCGAAATCAAATTATTCAACATACCTCAAACCAAGATTTCGAACTTTTGTAAAAAGAAAGTGAAGATTCAAAGCTTGATCATTTGGAAACATTTCCTAAATCCCAGAAAGCTTTTATTCCCTTGTATTCCTCACGATTTCCAATTTTCTCATGCTGCTCCTCCTTATTTTGGATACGGGATAGGGTAGGGAGGGGAAATGGCGGTCACTTAAGGAAAACATGGTATATTTCTCAAATTATTTGTTATATTTCAAAATTAGGAAAAGTAACAAAGTCTTCAGTTATCAAGTAATCAACAATTCAACAACAAAAGCATATATCTTTGACCTACTAGTAGTAACTAAAAAACATTCAAAAAAAATACATGTTTGAGCGGCATTGTCCCTGACTCTTGGTAATACCGCTCAAGGTACGTGATAATGAGATCAACCATATATTTTATTTTTGGGCACATAAATCACAGATGTATCCATCTGGCGAATCTCATCCTGAACAAATAGCATGAGCCCACACTCTGCAGACGGTGCAGCGATACCACTACTCGTTATATTTTCCAAATTCGTCGCAAATAATACATTTGTTATGAATTTCATCATCCACTTTCATTTCGTCATCACTGTCAACGTCACAAAGGTGCTCTTCATCTTCACTCTCTGAAGAACTTTCTTGTAAAATGTTTCTCTTGCAAGATTTTTCTTTCAAATGTCTGTTCTTTTCTTTGCCAACTATTTTTGCTCTCTATTAATCATCCTTTTCAATCGCATTGAGTTTCACAGTTTTTTTCTTTTCTCGCAGTTAATATGGTAGCATATTGTTTTCGCTCTTTTCAACCTGGCTCAGAAGATGGTGCAATAGTTGGTGTCGTTGCTATAGCAGCAGAGGATACCGGAGTTCTTTGCACATCAACAAGTTCTTGGTTACAAGCAACTGTCAAAACAGATCCAGAGCATTGATCCTTATTGGATGGACCTGCCAAAAGAGATGTATGTCCTAGAATTAGAGCCAGACCATTTGACTGCGCATCTACAGAATTCTGAACATTTGGGTCTAGGTTTTCAGCGATTTGTTCCGATTCTTGTGCCATCAGCGACGCTGTCAAAAAATCTTGATCAGTGAAAACATTCGAGTTCAATGGGTAAATTCCGGTGGTTCGATTTCAATCGCAGTTTTAGCAGTTTGAAGGTCTTCTTCGGTCCAGGCCGCTTTAGCGGTGGTTCTGTGACGATTTATTGGCGTTCAGATGAGCGATATAACCCCATACGGTCGTGTTGTAATGAATTTGAAATTAAAAAAAACACATTTGTGTCCCATATTTGTTGAAAATTGATTGCATTATCATTGGAAACAATAGTTTTATTGTCAGAATAGTAAAATTGATGATTAAATAAGCATAATTTTTGGACTTATCGACAAAAAACACCTGAACAAAAATTAGATCAGTGCGACGGCAAATGAAAAAATACACTTCACTATCCTAAGACGGGAACTGACTGTATGTTTGCAACGCTGTCTGTTAAGGTGCGTATTCACCGAAAAAGCGAGCACGAGCGAGCATGGGCGAGCATTCGTGTATGTTTGCTCATGTTCGCTCATGTTCGCTCGTGTTTGCTCGACATATTGATGTCTCGTCCACACCAGGCCGAATATCTTCAAGTTCGTAGTCGTAGTTGATCCATTTACTTTGTGCGAGCACCTTTTGGTATACCGCCTTCTTCTCAATCTTTTCTGAACGCGAACAAGCATACGTTCGCTCGCTCGCTAGCTCGTACTCATCAGACGATTATTGATGCAGAATGCTCGTTCACTCTTGTTAGATGGTGCTCGCTTTTTTGGTGAATACGCACCTTTAGAGGTCCCGTTTCCTCGCGCTTCACGCGAGGAAACGCGTGTAACAGAATTCTGTAATAGAATTACAGAGGTGGGAGCCATTTCCCAGTGAGCGCTATTCCCCCTCCCTGCCCTACATTGTTGTCAAAATTACTATTTTCGCGTATAGTCAGTGGGCATACTTGAAGACTGGCTATAAATCAAATCATCTAAAAGAACAATTCGTTCAGGCCAGTCTCAACACCCTACACAGTAGGTTAATGGACTGACACCTATCAGAAAACAACGCCCTTCGTGGTATTAGCCAGGAGAGTAGTTGTTTTCTGATAGGTGTCAGTCCATTAACCTACTGTGTAGGGTGTTGAGACTGGCCTGAACGAATTGTTCTTTTAGATGATTACTATTTTCGGTTTTTCTACCCTAACAAAAATGACTTGTCGCAAGTATCCCTATGACTTATAGACCCTCAATTTTTTTACACTTTCTGTTCAATGATATTGAACAAAATATTTGAATATGATATGGCAACTGGAATGGAAATGAAGGGTTGAGTTCAGGTTTTTGAACTTTTGAACCGAAAACCGTTTAAAATGAGTGACCTCTTTTGGTGATTGGGAAATATTCAATCAGAATATGGGTCTCTGAGCGGAAGTTGAATGTTTTTTTAACTCATATGAATTTAACTCCTATCGAGACGCTAGAGAATTTGGAATACCAGAATATATTTTTTATTTACTAGCAATTATCAATAGTCCTCCTAAATTACAGTTCATTTTCCTTTCTTCCAGAACGTGGTAGATCATGCCGCACCCCAAATGGCCAATCAGCGACTTGTACGTCTATTTACAACTGCGAAATACTCCTAAACGTCATCCAAACAAGAGACGAAGTTCAACTAAAATTTTTAAGAAAGTCCCAATGTGGATACGATAGCGATCCTCTAGTGTGCTGTGGAACTCACGCCAATTATGCTAAAACACAGTCTACTATCGAAGGAAGAAGACTGATTGGGAGTGGGGGACAGAGAAATACTCAGTTCACGAGGAATTCACTCATTCCAAGTAGAGCTTCCTGCGGTTTCCAGGTAAGAGAACAACTAATATACGGAAATGTAAATTGTAGAACTACAGTAGAATGCTAGAAGACCTCGTAGTGCTACTGTCCCCACTTTCTGGTAATAAATCATAGAGCTCATGATCAAATCGTAGAAGAAAGTTGTTGGATGCGTCGTGAAATGTGTCGATAATCGGCAACGTTGTCATGTCTTAAATTTCTCATGGAATTCATCGCTTTTGGCCAGTCTGAAACACAATGTTGTGTTTTTCACTATCTTCTGTGGAATATTTCCAGAATATAAGTTAAAATCGACCATGAGATTTTATCTGTAAATATTCATCATTGACATAAAACTTTTTTTTTTCAGGAAACTAATAAAATTTTTGATGGCGTAGATACCGCTTTAGATGAATTTCCATGGATGGTTCTTCTTCAATACACAAATTCTTCAGGATACCCTCGATGGTCTTGTGCAGGAACTTTGATCTCTGACAGATATGTTCTTACTGCAGCACATTGTGTTACTGGAGAAATCTTACGGAAAGTAGGAACATTGTAAGTTGATTACCAAATACTAGCCTTCTGAAAATTCATGTACATTCGAAGTGGTCTTTCTTATCATTATCCTAATGAGGAAAAAACAATTCGATGAAAGGAAAATTGTTTATTTATTTATTCATCTATTCATCAACCATTTTACGTTGAACATATAAATAGTGTGAGAGAAAAATGAACAATTGGACAATAATGTGGAATACTGAGAATACTGAATATCAATTGATTATTAATAATAATAATGAGCAGTTTCTTCATAGTATGTCCATACATTTAATCTGATTTTTGAAAGAATACAAGGATATCTACATTAGGCTAATGTTTTTGATTTTGTATGGTTATACAATAGGTTCTTGAAAATGTTATTCATTCGTATTTGAATGAGGCACGTTCATATCACACCAACGAGATAAGTTATTCAAGCCTAACTGTAACAATTCTGCATCACAAAATCTATCTACTACCCTGTAAAGTTTGAGATCGTCTGCAAACATTGGGTGAAAGCTGTGGTGTACGACATCCGGCACATCGTTTACAGAAAGAATAAAACGTATTGGGCTTACATGCCGTCCTTGAGGAACACCAAACTTCACAGAAATTTGTGATGATATGGAACCATCATATTTAACACACTAAATGGTATTCCCCAAATAGCTGTTTATCCATTTTGTCACGTTACCATTGATGCCCAACTTTAGAAGCTCAGCTGTGAGAAGGTCATGATCTACCCGGTCAAAGGCTTTAGAGAAATTAGTATAAATAGAGTCAACCTGCTGTTTTTCCTCTAGATTATTCAAAAGAAAATGTTGATGAGGCAAAAAATTCGAAGTGATAGATCTGTCAGATATAAAGTCATGTTGATGTTAATTTACTATGTTTTCCATATCGAATGTGAGTTTATCAGGTATCAAACAGTTCAGTAACTTGGGAATTTTATATAGCTTGCTAACTGGACGATAGTTTTTAATGTTTTCCCTATCTCCGGATTCGTGGGAAGGAGTTAGAAAACTTTACTTCCAGAATTCTGGACAGGTTCCCATGGATGAAGAAATATCAAATATTGTTTGTGAGGCCAGTTTTGCTAGAGTTAATATGCACGACTGCTGAATTACTGAATTGAAAATTCATAAAATATCTCCTATTATTGTACAACCAGAAAGAATGCCCATCTAGGTTGTTCAACAGTTAAACAGAAAAATCAGTGTATTTTTGCTTTACTGATATAAATGAAGTACACGATGAAGTGTGTTTTGAATTTCGACATCATTTCATCATTTTCAATCAAAGCAAATAACAAAAACATGGTACGAGTGATTCCGATAATCAACTGTCGTATCGTACATTTTGTTTCTATTTTCAGTCTAGTAGTTTGTATTCCTTTCATTATTTTAGGAGTTTAGCCAGATTGGGAGAGTACAACACAGAAACAGTCATCGACTGCAAATCACCAAGAAACTGTAACCAACGACCAGTTGATGCTGGTATTGATGAAGCTATCCCCCATCCAAATTATGATAACAACAACAATAACCGATACGACGATATTGCATTGATAAGGCTCAGTAGAAGGGTTACTTATACAAGTGAGTACACGTGAAAGCATGAAGAGACCAACCCTGTCTGCTTTTATTTTTTTGGCGGCCAATTCTGAAAGATTCGAAATATCTACCAGAGGAATAGTTTTGGTAAACATAAACTCTGTTTCAAAATAATTATTGATATAAAATCAAGAAGTCATACGCTGATACCTTCCTCCATTTTCTCATCGACACTGAAAGGATTGATAACAACATAAGCAAGGACATTGTATTGTTGGTTGAATCATCACAACCTTACTTTGAATTATGGCAAATCTTCTTTAATATTAATGACCAAGAACAAAATCATTATCTAAGAGAAATTTTGGTACAAAATCATCCTGTATTTTTTTACTAATATTGAGGAATTAGTAACTTTGATTTTTTTCTTTAGATATCTCGATCATTACTGGTTAATATATTTGGGAATTGGGGATTTAGATGCAACTTAACATGAATACAGCTTATACATCAAAATAACATATAGGCTACAATTCACAAAGGTCATAATATAACGATAAGTATCACGCAAATAATGTGGCGTAAGATATTATATCTCAAATAGTTTTGAACAAACTGAGTAGTTTGTTATATTGATGGCTTTCATTTGTTTTTTTTTTCTGTGAACTCGCTTTGCTCTTTAATATACCTATAAGTTTTTTTTATAAATTATGAATGGTTTTTTCATTTGCTTCATTCGAAACTTGTGATGATCTAAACGTTTCCAAACTCCGCACATATCTTGCCTTCTTGTTTGATATATTACTCAATAGTCGTGTGTCTGTATTTTACAATCTATGAATCTTTGCCTCACCTTTAGCAAGCAAGATTCTGTATCTGTATATGTAGAGAATAATTTCGTTACTGAATGCATGATAATATTGAACGAATATTGAGTAAAACACAGCATAGATCATGAGTACGATGATTTAACGAATGCTCATTTGCAGATTGTGAAACTAACGGCAGTGTTAAATTAGATGAGGGCTGAGGGCTAGTTAACACTTTCCCTGCTGTCACGTTGGTCCCATGGGACCAACACTGGTATTGCATTAATGGGCCACGTTCATAGGCATTTACTGAAGATGTAGAAAGGATAAGTTCAAATCCCACTTTTCGAAACCACTTTATACTTTCCCTTAGTGGATTTGAATAGGCCGCAAATTGATCTGATAAATCTACAGCTGCCTCACCTTTATTGTAGTCCAGTACAACTTTAGGTTTCACTTTTGTTTGCTGATTGCATGGCAAGAATGTTCCTCTTATCTTTCCAATTAATAATCGTAATGCCGTATTGATTTTCCATGGAATAAATTTCGCCACGTTTTAACTTGGCATTTACAATTTCTTTGGGCAGATCTTTTCAGTTTTTTCGAATAGTACCAATTACATGTGTATTGGCGTCTAACATTTTTTTGGCCAGAAACAAACTTGTGTACCAGTTATCAATAATTAGTGTTCGTCCTTCATTTACTAAACCTTGAGTTAGATGCAGTACAACTTTTTCAGGAATGACAGTAGTGTCTTCTTTGCCTGCATATATTTTGATGTTGTATGTGTATCCAAATCCAGAACAAAGTTTGAATAACTTTACCCCATACTTGTGTCTTTTTATTTTGGTATACTGACGAAACCCTAGTCTTCATCTAAATGGTAGGAGAGTTTCGTCAACACAAATCAATTCATCAGGAACATACAACGACTGAAAATTTCCTTTTAAAATATCCAGTAGGGGCGTTATTTTATACATTTAGTCACTTTTATCTGCCTCGGTATCGTCAGCAAAATGAATCATCCGTAATAACAATTCAAATCGATATCTCGACATTACCTTAGAAGCAAAATTATTATTGAACAGTTCATCTGTACTCCAGTAGTGATGCAGTGATGGCAGTTTTACTAATCCCATTTAAGCCACTAATCCGAGAAACTGTCTAATCTCAGACTTTGTGGTGGGAATCCAAGCAAGCAAACGCGAGTTTGGTATAGCATCCTCGGCTAAAACAAGTTGTGTCGCATTGTTGTTTGTCTCGTTGCAAATAAGGGATATTACTTTATCATCTACTACAGCATCAAAAAAGTTACCTGGTGTGGAATTCGCCAACAATGCTGCTACCTCTGGTTTCACTCTCGATGGAACAGAGAAAGGATGAATTGAAGGGGTTATATTTTTAGGAGTGATTCATTTTTGGAAAAGAAAGTTTTTGGCTTTCTACTACTCCATCTTGATACAAAAAAACATGGATGAGGGAATCTTCAAAAGAAAGGAAGGAAGTAATCAATTTGAAAATAAGTAACTCTATACATGGATGTGTAGATCATGCAAAGAAGTAACTTTCAGACACAAACTGAAAAAAAGTCCTCCTGAAACAGCTACTTTCATATAAACATTGAATTATACGAAAGAAAAAAATTCTTTCGAAACAAATACTTCTATATGAACACTGAATTATACACAAGATACTTTTTTCTACTCAGTTTGTATTCCAAACATTCGTTGTGTAATAAAAATCAGATATCATTCACATGAGTTCTACTTTAAATGAATGGTAACAAATTGCACTTATATAGAACACTGTCATCCTCACTGGTATACACCGATGTTTCGTCTTAAGACACTTGCCCCAAGGCTCTTCAGTACCAAATTGGATAACATTATAGAAAATACACACACTTCATTCATGAATTACGATTTTTATTGTCACGAAATAAGCTTGATCTGCTTATGTCATCGATGACATCGTAATGACAATCATTCACCTATTTGATTCAATCCCAGCCAAGAGGAATCTTATTTTTTGAATTGAAGGGGTCATATTTTTAGGAGTGATTAATTTTTGGGAAAGAAAGTTTTTGGCTTTCTACTACTCCATCTTGATACAAAAAAAAGGATGAGGGAATCTTCCAAAGAAAGGAAGGAAGTAATCAATTTGAAAATGAGTAACTCTATACATGGATGTGTAGATTTTTTTTTTGTTTGTATCAAGATGGAGTAGTAGAAAGCCAAAAACTTTCTTTCCCAAAAAAGAGAAAGGATCTATTGACTTATAGTTTCCAATTGTGGGCTCCCATAATGAATATTGGTTCGATTGTGAATCTTCTACAGCTGATGATGTCAAATTCTGCGATTCTCGCTCATTATTTGGCATTCCTTGAAACGGCGACACTGGATTTGTTGATTTATCATCTACTAAACGACTTATTGAAGGTAAGAGAGATTCAACACCCTGAATACCTGATTTCACTCTTTTTGTTTGCTATATAAATGTCTGTATATTTCCTACAGTTTCTGAATCTGATGACGTTTCTGATTCGGACTCATACTGAAATGATTCATCACTATCTTTGCTCTCAAACGGTTGCCAGTCATCTTCGTCTGAAATTTCTCCAAAATTGTCTGCATATTATCGAAAGTCTTAACTCATTTGAAACCAATGGAAGTTCCTGCTTTGTCAAATGCTAAGAAAGTTTGGATCGATTTGATATTAGTTATGAGGTACTTTTCATTCCATAATATGGAATATTCTGAAAGAGATCCCGATTTTTCCTATCAAGAAGAAACTGATTTTCATATGAAATATTCGAAATCTCCCATGTTTTCATATTGTAATTTTCTTTTATAACTAATCTTTTCAGGCCTCTTCGATATTTATGAATGGATGTCTTGAGAATTTTTACTGATACCATCCGTTGAGTCGAAGAATTATCATAGATGAAAACTCAGTAATAAAAACCAGAAATAAAAACCAACTAGGGTTTACTATTTGGAATACCTGGTAGTATAATATATCAAAATTTGTGACCTTGCTGATAACGAAAACGTGAGAAGATCAAATTTACTTTCTGTTTTTGCCTATCGCTGGTGAAAACATGCATTTATGATCAATATTCTTCTTTATAAAATTCAAGCTGGAAGAATACCTCATAAATTTTGATCCCTTTTAACTGTTTCCACGCCAAGTCACTACTCTGTCGAGAAATTTTCAAACAATAACTTCGTCTATCTAGGGTTTCTGATATTCATTCCACAAAAAATGCCCAGCAAGGATTTGAAAGAGGATGCAATTTTTTCTACAGATTCATGAGTGTTCATTTCTTTGAAAAGAAGTTACATAATTCTTACCAAAATAACCAAACAACTTAACATCAACAGAAATTCTGGTCTTGATGTTGTACTCGGTGTTTTGTTAACTTTCCAACTTCCCATACACATATGGGTTGGTTTTTGAATACTGCTCAAGTTCAACCTAGCTATAGCTAGGTATAGCAACTAGGTATAGACCAGAAGTTACACTTTCTGTCATATCCAAAATTATGTTTGGAGCCGCTATTAATTCAACAATCTTCTGATTTTTTGCAATGTTTCAAACGTTAATCAATATATGGTTTGCAGGTATGGTCTATACTTATGGAAACAATTATGAAGAACTGTCCACTTGTGAAGAAAATTTCTCATATTTCTTTAAACAAATCCCATAAAATTAGTTCTATCCTAAGTGAGGTAGAGAGAAATTAGGTATCAACCATTCAATCAATCATATTGTCAAGAGCATTACCAAGATAGATTTTTGAGGCATAATTTACATGTATTGTTGATTGAATATCATCCATTGATAATTCCACTCTTACATAAAAATCACCAGACCCATTGAAGAACCCTGCGGTGCCCCGTTTGCAATATCTGAAAATGGGGAAATACGTAATCGTTCATATTATTACTCATTTTTTCGATTGTGTTGTTCGTTCAGTTCTTTGCTTTCATTTCCATTGACCTTTTGCAAGACTATTCCAATGTAAGCAGCCTATATTTTTCTTGAATCTAGAAATTTAGTTTCCTAGTTTTCATTCGCTCATATTAATATTCTGTCTACCGTTTCATTTCTGTAGGTTTTCCTTGCATTGTATATAGGTACTCTCTTTGACTAAATGTAGATAATATAGAAATTCCACTCCAGTTTACAATCAAATTTGATTTTTTTCCTTTGTGAAATTCCCAGTATTCAAATTTGTCACTATATTTTTTTCTTTGTGTTAC